TTAAACCAGCATGTGCTTACGGTGTGTGAATATTTTTCACTTTTTATTTTATTACAAGCAGCTGTGCTCTGGCATTACAGTATAATCTACTACAGTATCATCAATTGCCACGAAGCTAGAGAATTCACATACACATCTCCTCTGATCCATGTGATTAGTATAATGTTTTTTCTTTAGTTTGGTATTACACTTCTAGTAAGTTGATTGAGACCAATTTAAAAGTCCCCATTATGCTTCCTTACGCAGCAGATGTTTGTTACACAGAATGCTTTTAGAAGCAGTCATTGTGAATTGTTTGAAAAAAGGGCAGGCACTTTAGAAAAAAAAATACTTTGCATCTGATTGGAAGAACCACCTGTCAATCAAACCATTTTTGTCTGAATCATCTTTTCTACTGTCAAAATGATTGCGGATTTTACGAGTATTCAGTGGCTGTGCAATGTGACTAGTATGGGTCAAGCTCCAAAACACACCGGATCCTACACTTCCCATAAATCAACTCAATAGTATCTTTTATATAGGGCCCCTTCTGCATCCTAAATGCTTTTTTATAAACTTGACACCCCCCAAGTTTCCTGTTATTAGGTACTACGAGTAATTTTGAGCATGAGGTGATGTTATTGTTGTGACAATACCACTTCATTTGAATACAGGTGGTGGTAATTCCCCAAGATATCCAAAAATGAACCAGCGAACCGGATTTTGGATTAGACGCGGATGTAAACAATGCAAGTTTCTTAATGTTCAAAAAATGCCTCAAAAATAAGAATGACTTCAGAAAGCTCTTTGAAGACATTAGAAAACAGTACAAAAAGCTTTCTCCTGATGAGGAGTTAACTGAACTGCGTGTGTAAAAATCGGGGGAACGCCCCTTTAAAAAAGGGATTTGTATGGGTTTTTTTCTTGAATAAAAACCTAAGAGGACAGAGGCTGTTTGACAATGTTTTAGCTGTAAATTCCTTGGAGAATTAGCAGATAAGACTGATTTGAATTGCCTTAGGGACACAATAGACTGACTCATATCAAATAACTCAAACAATGTGAGACAGTCAACGTCCCTCTGTGTGAAGTAGAGCTGGAGGCCTCTGTATTCAGGGCTTTCAACTTCAGGGCGGTTGCCTCACTCTCTAAACAACCGACCTGAGGAGAAAAGACTGGCAAGATCCTTATCCTCTATAAACTCCTTAAAAAATGAAAATTAAGTGTTTTCACAAGGTTTGTTGTATGATTCCAAATGTATCTGTTGGGTAACTTAATAAAATATATTTCTATACAAAACAATTCTCTGAAGTTTTATATTATCTTACATTGTTTTATTTAACTTTTTCATGTTTAACTCCTTTTTCTCTAATGTTTTTTAATTTTTGCATTTTTAATTATTGTTTGTCTTGCAATTTTATTCCCTCATGTCCTTAGTAACTTTGTCAGTAAGTGTTATTATTTAAAGTTGAGCAGCTTGTGTCAGTGGCACAGCTCTCTACGCTGTTTGCGTAAACCCTCGCAGGGAGTGGCAGGGTGAGCTGCACGCATGGCGCAAGCGGGGAGTCTCCCGGACATAGCGGGACGGACAACCTGATGGAGCTCTGCTCAAGTTTACCTACACGTATCTAGCTTACTCAAATGTTATACTTTCTACAGACCGTCACATGTAATCTTCACTTTCTTTCACCCGTGTAATAAGAGAAGGCAAGGGAGACTATTCTAAGTGACAGTTTACGTTAGAAAACTTTTCCTGCGCATTCATGATTCACACCACAAACGAGATTAATGACGTTTAAAAGAAACTCTGTATTTCGTCAGGTGTATACTTTGTGCTTTGTTGTTTAGCATTGGAGGCTTTTACGACCTTCTGTTATCAGACTGTTCCTAAACAAACATCCCCGACAAGCGGAGGCCTGTTAGCTAAACTTTGATAGGAGAAGGTCCCTTTAACGGCTGAATCCGTGAGGGCTTCAGGTAACGGAAGAGCCTAAAGTTTAATGCGAATACTCCGAACAAACTTCAAATAAAACCTCCCCGGGTGGATGAATCTCCTGATTCTGTCTCAAAGATAGCAACCCACTGTGTGCCTATCAGAAGTCTTTGGTTTGGAGCTTTAAAGTAGCCTGTATCGAGTTTTATAACTTCAACTGTCCATAAGGAAATGTTAGCTAACGGTGCCGCTAACTTACCTCTCCGGTTGTATCAGGCAGGTAATGAGTCTTAAAATGTCTCCTCTCTACCGCAGCTGCTGCACGTCCTCTGGTCCTGTTGTAGCGAGAGGATTTCATGTAGATCTCGCCATCAAAAATTACTTGTTTGGTCTTTGATGAGCTTCAATCCGCCTTTTTTTTTTTACCTCTCCCTCTAACCTGAGATTTGCCACATTCTCCTAAAAAAAAAAAAACTGTGTCGCACTTTCTGCCCAAAACTCTTGTCTTGTGGTCGTGATTTTTAAGGTGGTCGAACGATGACCAAAATGTTTATCTTTTCACTTTTGCGTCAGATAAAAGTAGTATGGTGAGCTCAGGCTTGTTTTCCGTTTAGCCGGGTACTTTCATTGGTGAGTTATAGTGGATATTATGGTAGTATGTCAGGAGCGGGTGGAGGGGGAGGGGGGGATGCTGGCTATTTAAAGTGACGTGAGCCTTTGCTCTGTATGAGGAGTGGCTAGTGCCACTGACAACGGTAGAAGAAGTACTCAGATCCTGTACTTAGGTAAAAGTAGAACTACCAGAGTGTTGGGATACCCTGTTACAAGTAAAAGTCCTGCTGTTATTTAAGTGTTGATTCAATTTCACATCATTAATTCAAATCTGTGAAGTAACTAAAGGTATTAAATGAATGTTGTGGAGTAAAAGTACACTATTTACCTTTTGTATTGGGGTAGAAGTACAAAGCAGCAAAAAATACTCCAGTAAAGTAGTCTACTAGTAGGCCTACCTCAAAATGGTACTTTAGTACAGTCAGTGGATGTACTGTAGCTACCCCACTGATAACCGATCAGGTTAAGGAAGTTGAAAGCACATTTTACACAATATACATCAAACTAATCTATATTTCTCCCAAGACAAAACAAAATCTAATCGTTGCAATGCAGGGATGCATATATTTAAAATTGAATGCATTAGGATACTTTTTGGACTGGAAAGACCATAGCCTATTGTGTAAAATTAATCATATTATCAAAATCGAGAGTTAAAAATGTACATACATTAAGGCAAAAATAATAATGACCCCAATTTCACTGAATTTGTATCTAAAAATATATTAGGATTTGTAAACTTTTAAACACAAAGGTTTAAAAAAGTATACATTTTATGGTGAACCCTTCAAAGAATAATGTGTGCTTTTTAAAATATTTGTATATTATTGTGGTTTATTTACAAAAATGGGCATGTTCTCCAGTTGATAGAGTAAAGTATTTAGTATACATATCAAGTCATAATGTTGTATGGTGTTCATATCTTTGCAGATAGTACTTAAAAGTGTGGCTCTTGCTGGTAGAATCAGACTTTCACTTCATGTTGCAACCTAAACGCCCTTTAATCCATACATTTATGTTAGTGTCACCACATGATTAACTCAAGTACAGCATGGGTGCTGAAATAATTCATTGAAATACACCAAATAAATTAGATTAAGTGTGAATTATCTGTGAGCTATTCCTTATTAGACTAGTTTAAAACCTCTTGGGTTCTAACTGTAGTTTTCTCTTTGTTAAGGCAAGTTGAAACAGGCAAGGCACTCTTACCCACGGCTCAAGTTGGGCCAAGTACAATTTTTTTCAGATTTTACAGCCCTCTGGATAGGAGCTGTTGATGTCAAAACAAGCATGTGCTTTTTTTAGGACTCCAGCCCAGACCAAATTAACATTCATTTACATGGACTAATTAATTACTGCTTTCAACAAAGGCAAAAAACGACTTGCCCATCAGAATAGATGCAAAATAAAAAAATTTCATAAATCAGAATTGATTCAAGGCTGCGGCAGGCTTGTGCTGTGTGCACGTGCAGCTTTTACAACTTTATTCAGCCCGCTCTACATATTGCTCTTCTTTTTTTCATCCACACCTTTATGATGTCTTAAAGGTCGATTTCCACGTGATGGACTTTGCATCATTAAATACAAATACACACGTGGCATTTTCCAACCATTGTGTAGTAACCTTTTTTCCCTTCTTATTGCACACATGTACTTTGTTGTGTGGTGATATACAAAGAGTGTCTTACCCACACATTAATGCGTTCCTAAAACTGTCAGATTATGTACTTACTAAGTATTAGTTACTAATATTTCACATTATAACTTATAGTATCCTCAAGTTAAAGTCTTTTTGCAGGAGGGTTTCTCCTTAGATTGCAGCTACAAGGTAAACAGAACAGATGTTATCCCTCATTCTGCTGTCTGTTAGTGGCACTAATCACAGCTCATACACCCAGGCATGCCGGAGGAGGCCAAGGCGTGTTTGGACTCATCTGACCGAACCCAAAAAGCTGTGGCAGTCGTCCTCACTGCATACCCCAGCTGTGGTTACACACACACACCTCAGCCTTTTCCATCCTCTTCTTACCTGACCTAGATATGTATGCATGTCATTAATAAATCATGGCTGACGTGGGATTATCAATGACCTAACATGACTGTGCAATTATAATGGACACTGTCTACAGGCTTGCATTTACAGATTACTTGTATGAATGAATTCAAATGCAGCAACAATAAAAACACTACAATATATTTTTTATTTCCTTCCTGTAAAGCGTTAGTTAAATTCAGTCCAACACTAGAGGCCAGATGTTCTTTGAAACTTTCCTCAATTCTTCTTCAGGCCTATAGAGAGCAGCACACTCCCCTGGATATCTCATTACTGATCTAACACTGATACAACCTTAGTCTATTCTGTCGTATTTTCAAGCAAAATAAACAAAAGAATACATTTTTTAATCATTACACCCAGAAGAGATGCCAACTTTTGGTAAATAACACGTCGAGAAGCAGACAGTTAAGCAGACGCACATTTTTTTTCTTCTAAATTGTACTTTATTTTCTTTTAAAGACATATGTTTTAAAACAGCGATTGTAGAGAATAAATAAAGAAACATTATGTTTTTTTTTTTTACTTCCATAGGTACATTTATGTAATTAAAAACTCTATAATAAGTGTGTTCATTGTCTTGAAGACCACAGGAATCCTCTTTTTTTTTCTTAAATTAAAAAAGAAATTGTCACATCTCCACCCATCCAACCTCATCAAATTGATTACCAAATAAATTAAACGTAAAAAATCAAGATAGAAAAATTCCCAGCCATTCCTTCCGCTTTGATAATTTGAAAAGTAGTGGCAGCAGAGAATCTTAACTTGTGAAGTCTTTAAACTCCATTTTTAAATCAAGGTATATACAGTGAGGAAATCCAAATCTCTTCCTGTGTAATCTCCCCCTTGTTTTTTTTTAAATTTACGTATAAATAATAAAACTAACTCTACATAACAATATTACCAATGGTAATCATACAGAATAGTATTTTCTTTTGCCTCCGACTGTAGACTGGCCTTCTGTTAACGCCATGGACCACAAATCACACTATACAGTAGAACCCTGTTCAGAAGAATAACATCATGATATGCTTTTTCTTAACATGTAGATCTTGTTGCCGACAATAGAGTATGTACATAATATAATTGAATCCAGCTGTGGAATGATAGGAAATCTGGAGCACTTCTGATATTGAGGATGCGGTTTCTGTAGATTTATTCTGTCGCCGATATTACTGCTGTTGTTTTTGTAAGCGCATACACGTGATACTGCTTTCGTGAAGTGTTGCTCCTGTGCTATACGGTTGGTCAAACAACCAAAAAAGGCTGGGACATCCCAAGTGGTTTTCTTGATTGAACTCTTAGGTTTTACCTGCAGGTAAAGAGGAAGAGAAGAGAGAAAAGAAGAAGAAAAAGAAGAGAATTAGAAAACAAAAATCTCACAAATCATCATCGAACACACACCCACACACATGTAGGACTTTGGAAGTGGAGTGGTGTCTGCAATACACACTGCTTGCACTGATGTCTCAGGGGAGTGTCAGTAATCAACTAGTGTCCATGCAACTCTAATAGTCACACTGCTGCAAGTGTATGCACGTTCTTAGAAAGTAGTTTGTCATCTCTTTTGGCAGGCAAATTAATTCAGAACATGCATAGTAGGAATTCTGGTGGGGATGACTATAACGCTCCATTGTTTTTACGAAAACTGTTGGGAAAAGTTGTTACATTTAGTCGAATGATATTCAGAACCATGGTCTATCACTAAACTGCAGTTTCTCACAGAGGATAGTTAAATCCAATCATCCAGCATTTAATTATTTGTGCGAACAGGGCATCTGCAACTAAAGAAATGTCAGAGCAGTAAATGTGAATTCCTGTCCTTTATTATTATTGACTACATTTAAAAACTCTTAACAAGCATTCATTACAAACCCTCAAACTTTGTTCAAACTTGCCTTATTTACTCTACATTTTATTTCTGATTCGAGATACGGGGTACCATTTCCAAAGATATTAACGTGGCAGAGTATATGAACAAACAAATAATAGGAAATCTAGGCTATTCTTATCAGGCACATAATGCAGCCATTACAAATAATAACACATATAGCTTGTATAAAACGTCCATATTTGTAAAGGGGTATTGATTTGTTGTGACAGAGTTGTAAAGAAATTAGAGTTAGTTTAGAAATGTTATATACCAGAAGCAGAATAATAGAAATAATCTGCTAGGATTTATTTTTGTATTATTCAGGCTTTCATTTCAGTTTACATTTTCAAACTTGGTCATTGACCTGCAGATACCCTGTGATTAACAACATTTTATGTGCTAAGTCAAAAATGTTTTATGTATATTTGAATACCATGAGGTCTTATTTGTGTTATGTATGTTAGCTCTTATAACGTTTATTAATATTATAATGTTTTTGGAAACCCAGAATTCCTACAGAGGAATGCAGTTCCTCAGCCAGCAGCACGTGTCACAGGAACCAAACAGCTTTACCCAAAACCTTCTAAAGTAGGGTTAGTGTCTCTGTGGTACAACACACACACACTGCACACACACACCCACACACACAGCCACTTACACATGAACAATTTTCCACATCTAATCAATACAAAATACTCACACAAATATAAATGCACGCACCTTCTTGTTGCTTAACATACACGCACAAATACCATGTGGTAAACCATTTACAGGGGCACGATCAGTACATTTCCAGTCTCACGAAACCAAACAAAGTTCAGGCACAAAGTCACTTGGAATTGAGTTACAACCAAACAAAAACCCCACACTCACCGAAAACTACCACACCAACCAACTAAACAAAGGGAATGTGTAAGAATGATAATCATGACAGACAAAAAGTCAACTAATCAGAAAACAAAAGAAAGGAAATCAATTGTATGTATCCATATTTGATGGACAGCAGGTTGATTTAGCTCTTAGCATTGAAGCTTTTAGAAAAAAAAAACTGCATGTCATGATCATCAGTTGCTTACAGATGCTGAGGTAAAGTGACAGTTATTGATCAGTGTTTGCAAGGAATAAAACCAGGACAAAATAATAAGAGGAAACTCACAACGCACCAAACACAGTTCATGGTCGCCACAGTAACCCGCCATGCAGTTTGAGCATGGTGAATCAAGGCAACGGCCCAAAATAAAAATTGCTAATGGCAACCATCACAGGCAATATCGCCACAGCAACCAACACAGGCCAATTAACTTACAACGCAGTGAGAAGGAAGAGGGGGGGAGGTTTTAGCGGTTGCTATGCAACCGTAGCCATAGCGACGCACGTCTCCACGATATATGTATGGACAGGACAGTCTTGAGAGTGGTGTGATGGTTTTGTTCAGGAAAAATGGCATATGGCACAGCACAAAAACAATAAATGAAAAGTAAAAACAAAAAATTAATGACGAACAGTAGTTGGCATTTAACCCTGCGACAGAACACTGGTTAGGCAAAAACATTTGAACCCAAGTAAAAAAATCAGCTCCTCAATCAAAGTGTCCTTCTACATGCTGAGCAACAAAAGAAGCAGACGCTTTTACACAATGTATTTCAAACTGATGAGAGCTGCCGCCTCATTAAAGTTAATCTACTGTAGGGTTATTGACTTCTTCATTTCCACATGAAAGACAGCCGTTTAAGAGCTGAGCCCCCCAATTACATCCACTCTGTCTCTTTAACTTCCACACACATTTCAGCTGTCTGTCAATCCCTCCCCGTCGCCTCAAGTGTGTCAATAGACAATAACTCACCTCCTTCAGTAAGGCCTGTTGGCATCCTTGGGCCTCTTCAGCTGCACCTTCAGTCTCTTCATGCCGATCTGGAAGCCGTTCATGGCCTGGATGGCAGTCTGGGCGCTGGAGGGGTTGTCAAAACTTACAAAACCTGAAGAGGAAGAATGAAAGAATGAAACGTCTATCAATAGCATCATTTATCAAACAAAGTAAAAATATCAAACAGTTGTAAATGACTCAAATGATTACATGAAAAGGATGACTACATCTAAATGTTGTTTTGACTTGGTTTATGTGATTGATTGATTGATATATAATGGAATAGGGGTAAGACTAGATAAGCATGTTGCATCTTACTACTCCATTTTGGACATGAAATGTAATTTATTTTTCCTATAAATTCTTGAAAACCTGTTGTATATGTTCACCGTTATATATGGTTTTGTTGTTCTGCTTTTTAAATATACATTTGTTTGTTTTAATGCTCAAACTAAGTACATTTAATTCAATTAAATGGGGAAAAAGCTAATATGACATTTACTGTATGGTGAAACTGGTCTTTAAAAGTCTCTAAAATCCACAACAGCCATCACATTGACTCACCAAAGCATTTACTCTGGTTGGTGGCGCGGTCCACAAAGACCTTTGCAGAGATGACGTTTCCGAAGGGCAGGAACATCTGCAGGATCTCAGAGTCGGTGAACTCCTGCGGCAGGTGGTAGATGAAGATGTTGCATCCCTCTGGACCTGGACACAAATAGAGACGAGACGACACAGAGATGACAAGGTTAGGCGATCAGTGTGGATCAGTTATAGTTACAGTTATTGTTAGTGGTACAGTCCTAGACTCCTGTGTCTGATTTATGCTTATATTTGTTATGTTAATTGTTTATGTCTCTTTTATTCAGTATAACACATATATGTATTGTTTCTCATCTTTGTCAAATTTCATTTATTGACTTTATCATTTATTTTTGTTTGAATAATAAGGGTTAGGTTTAAAAAAAAAAAAAAAAAATCTCTTTTATATCATATGAATGGAAATGATATGTTTTCTTGCTGATAGTCAGATTGATATCACTATCTTGTCTATGTAGTTCATAAACATGAACGTGTGTGTGGTTTGTGGTAAATGGGCTGAAACATTGAAAACCACAGGACTGTTCCTCTAAGACAGTGGTTCCCAACCTGGGGGGCGCGCCAAAGATCGCAGGGGGTGTGCCAGGCCTCAGATGATTTGAGGCCAAATATCATATTTAGACTTTTTTTTTTACATATAATTGTAACGCAATACATGATTGTCGCTAAAAGCCTTGTCTCTACATTACAATAAAATATAAAAAATAATTGATTAATTAATTTTAATAAAAATTAAAGTTAGTAGCTAATAAAGGCATAAAAAGACAGAAATGTATAATTCTTTCTTGAATAGAAATGTTTCTTCTGCCCGTAAAGTGTCCAAACCAGGCTTGTCTGGATAAGCGCATTTTTAAAACATAGTCATTGTCCATGCCGGTTTCAGATTATTTGTCACAGTTGCTCCGATCAGATCGGTCTCCTCCATTTTGTAGATTATTTACGACTTTTGAATCCACATAAACACATCGGCAAAATCCGGCTTACTTTGAGCATGTGTTTTAAACAGTTTAATCCCTTTGTGAATTGTTTCCACTTGCGCCGTCCTTTAATTTCTTCATACAGCGGGAATCCAAATGAATTAACCCTGAGTCCAATAACCATCAAAGTCACTCCAATAGTTACGCTTTCATCCTCCTTTAACAAAATACTTCACATTCATCCAGTTTGTGACAGGAGTTGTAGCATTTTTGAGACTTTTAAACTTTAATTACCACTGTTGCGACCCCCCCCCCCCTTGTGTGTGTGTGTGTGGGGGGGGGCGCAACTTCCAACAGGAGTCATTTGGGGGGGCTCTTGGGAAAAAAGGTTGGGAACCCCTGCTCTATGATACGATTATCTCGGCGACTTTACCTTCTCGCTGCTGCAGCTGCTGCAGCTGCTGCGGTTGCTGCGGCTGCTGGGCCAACAGGGTGGGCTGGTGGGGGAACGGCTGTCCCACCAGGCTGTAGGCAGCGGGGTAGGTGGCTGATGGGAGGAGGAACAGGTGAGCAGAGAGCAGAGAGAGACACTGCACACTAATCACTTTTTCCTCAAAACAACATCTGACAGAGCTGCATTCCCACCTACTGGTCTGCTAAAACCAGGAGCTTTGCATTTATTTTGTGGTGTGTGACTCATTCCATAGAGCTGCGAGTTTAAACTGTGTAATATATGTGCATGTTTTTACTGTGGATGTAAATTTGTACTTTACACATGGAGTGTTGTTGAGTCGAGAGTGTAAAGGTAATGTAGCTGCATCCCATTATGTTACATAACATAACAATGTTTAGCATTCTGGTTACATGGAACTGGGAGGTTGTTTTTCATTAAGTAACCACAGGAGAAACATGCGTGGTAACAATTATGTACACAACATCACTCAAAATGTCCCTGTCTTTAGTTAATGGCTCTCTTGGTGTATATATAAAGGGTTTTATAAGCAGACAATTTGTCCCATTTACTATAAATTCAGATATTTGAATTCTCAATGAGTATTCTCCTGAGTATTTCTTATTCAAATACCACTAACAAAACCAATCATCACTCCACATTTAGCAGTCTCTTATCAGATTGCCTAGATATAACACCACAAATGTATTTGGTAATTCACAACCCAATGTTGCTTTCACACGTCCACCCAGTGTTTTCTAATTTTTAGTGTTGTCTGCATTTTTCTCTGCACACTTCAAGTCTCCAGCATGTCTGTTGTGTAGATGAAAATGTACTTGAAGTCGTGGATTAAAAACAAAGCTGAAGGTAATTTCTAAGAACTAAAACCAAAAAGGATGGAGTGGTCAAATTTGATGTATTACATATATTTGTGAGATTTAAAAAAATATATTTTCTTGTGTTTCCTACATACATGATACTTGACGCGGTTTATGCAGCTGTTATTTTGTGTGGCAGCAGTTCGACAAGTATAAAGCAACACATTTTGATAGATAAATGGCAACTTACGTCACTACCTATCTGGGATACATGTTTCCCAGAGTGACAGTGAGGCTCACCTGTGTAGTGCTGCATGCCGGTGTAAGCTTGCTGCATATGGTCCAGCACCGGACTCTGAGCTGTGGCAGAAAAAAACCACATCGTCACCAGCTGCTTTATGCACACAACAAAATAATCCTGAATGCTATGTGGGGCACATCAGCATGCTCCAGATAACATTTAGAGCTCCAGATAACATTTAGTGCTTAAATTAAATTTCCTCTTGATTAGATCCTTGTGGATGCACAACAGTAAGCCTGTGAATATGTGGAGGAAGACTACATGTTAGTCTGTACTCTCTGCTGTGAAGGATGTGGTGGCTCTACCTTGGTAAGCATGGACCCCGTTGGTGTACAGGGCTTCAGTTGCTGAATGGCCGTTGGGTGGAGCTGGCAAAGAGGCGTAGCTGTTCACGGTGAGGGGGGGAGGCAGAGCAGGAACCGGTGTGCCGGCCATGGAGGGTGGAGTGCTGGCACCTGCAGACATGTCAGCCATTTATTTTTATCCTAACAAAAAATCAACGGCATTAAAGCAGTATTTAAAGCATGACCTAGAGGAGATAAGGACGAGTGAATTATTAAACTTCCCAATCAACATGAAACTACTTGATTTCCATTTTGGATGATTTATTCTTTTAGTCTGGAAGGGGCCTTTGAATAAAGGCACTGAACAAATTAAAGGAGATCAAATAGAATAGCCTGTGTGGGATTTGGTAAAAATGTCAGTCTACAGATATAGTTGTCTTGGGGATCGACTAATAAATGCCTTAGTCTTAGTCGTAGTCTAAGCCAAACAGCAATTTAAGGCTTCCTTTGTTAAATTGTTGGATGAGTTGAAATAAAATAATCATAAACAATTAGCCATCCTGGCATTGAGCAATTTTTTGAAAGTAATCTAAGGGAGGTTGAAGCGGTGCCTTTTCTCAAGCCCTATGAAAAATACCCATATGAAATTATACGAATGTTTACATATAAATAACAAAAATGTGCTCCAACAAGAGCTCACAGCCAGGCGAGCAGCTTTGTCACGCAGGCTGCCCTTTGGCACAGCGGTGATTTGAGCTACATGCTAGCATCAGCATACTAAATACTCACAATGACAATGCTAATCTGCTGATGTTACAGGGACCCTGTGGAGTGAGTGAACTATAGTAGTGATATGGAGCATTTCGTTTTTTAATGATGCACGCAAGTAAAGGGATAAACACTCCTGTCAACAGTTTCACGATATTCCCCTGATCTACAGGTGGCAGTAATGCACAAAGACACACAGAAAATGAGTTGCTACAACTCAACACAGTGACCATTATCACAACTGCTGATGAGCAATAAACACAAATTACAGCTAAGGCTGACCCTATTTGCTGGTATTTGGGCACGAGATGAATTAGCTTAGGGATCACCAAAGTTATTACAGGTCATCCTAAGGGGGACATTCATGTCTGGACATTGCTGTTTACAGTTTAATTAGTTTAAAGTTGCTGTTTATGTCAATTTTATATTATTCTAAATCGAGGAGTGAGGGGTTGTTTTTCAAACTCAACAGACCAAGGACTTTCAGGACTCAGGTACTAAAGCTATGTTCATACTGCAGGCAAAATTGGCCATTGGGTCACTTTCATACTTTAGTTGAAAATAAACTATATCTTATACAGGTCTGATTATTGCAATGTGACCTCACTGAATAGTGATATCTGATTAATGGATGTATTATAAGACCAGGATACGTCACCGCCACTCAGTTTATTTACTTACTTTGTGACATTGGAGACAAAATCCCTTCGCAGCACGAAAGATATTTCTCCCATAGACCCCCATATAAAGAGGCATCTGTAAAACTGGGAACAGGACACCTTGAACTACAACAAGGTACACTTTGATTGTTTCTATTTTGAATTTACGATTCATTAAAGTGATTGAAAAATCAGTGATTCATCACTTTATAAAGCCTGCTGACCTAGAAGGAGAAACACTGCTGAGCATATTCATATTGTGATATTATTTAATGCGGGTCAGTTCAGGACCTGACATTGGACACATTTAGGAATAATAAAAAATGTTCAGATGAATTGAGCACTAATGCTTTCAGGATGGAAGTAGCCTGACTCACTCACAATTTAATGTCTTTCTGAAAGATAACATCTTGACAGATTGAGAAAGAAACTACGAAATAGATGTTTGTTATTTTGTCCTTTGAGGTCCACCTCTCCTTGTGTATCTGTCCTCATATTTCAAGAGGAAATCTAATCAGGGGCCGGCCGGGGCCAGACGTCTCTGCCTCTCATTACCTGAGGAGGGGGTGATGGATGAGATCGGCGTGGCGATGATGCTGTTGGGGTTGAGGGCGGCGAGCTGCTGCATCTGAACCGCCGCCACCGTGGCAACAGGAGAGAGGTAGGCCGACTGAGCCACCAGGGCCTGCTGCTGCATCAACTGGAGGAGGGAGAGGGGGGAGGGGGATTGATAGGAGGGGAGAGAGGGAGTCTGGATATTCTGTATTTAGAAAAGAGCAAAGATTATGTTTAGAGGGATCTGTTTTTAAGACTGTGAGTGTTCCCTGAATGTAACCTCAGGCTTGTAAAATAGAGAAACAACACCAGGAGACTTTAACCTTAACTTTATATGTTTATATAAAGACATTTCTATTATTTTATCTTGTTTTGTATATACAGTCTATGGTTTTGACCCATATACACCTTTTATTTTACGTCATTCTAAAACGGAGCAACTCTCCGCAAACGGAATTTCCCCCACGATAAAGTTATTCAAATCTGGTAAACATGCACCAAATTGTGAAAAGGCTCAACATCCAACATTAAGTCATTGATTTTAGATAAGTGAACATTCCTGCATTTACAGTATATGGCAAATTATATCGCAGAAAACACATTTTTGCAATGTCCAATATATGTCATGCAGCACTAAGACCGACACATATTTTTCAGATTTCCATTATGAACTAATCATAAACATTAAGCATGTTTATATAACAGCAATGAGTCATGTCTGAGAAACAGGAGGAAATATATTTGAAAGACACGTCTCTGCACGCTGCAACTTCACACACACAGACAAACTGTCCTCGCTCTGTTTGTGCAGACCTGTTCCATGACCTTTATAATCAGTGATTGTGGCCAGATCTATTTATAATTGGTTTTAACATAATGTAGTGTGCTCTGTGTCCGGGCTGTAAGGGGGACATGATTATATTAAATCCTGCCTGTTTTAACTTTACCTGCACTTTTTTCGGAAATCTATTTTATTTTATGTTTTAGTTTAACGTTTTACTAAAAAGTAGAATGACACTCACGACTGTAAATTAACACATCCATTAAAGATATTGTCAGGCCTCTTTAAGTATCACAGAGTAAACAACTGTAAATGATCCAAATCTGGAACCATTTGCAGTAAACGGTCAATTAACAACGAGAGACGTAATGTGGCTTTACATTTTAAATTGCAATTCTTCCAGTTAAACATCAACTTTAATGATATCTAAACTCTTTTATTAAATCTCATGGAACAAGCTGAGTAAGGTGAGCAGATTTCAAGACAAATATTTATTTCCTTTTCGGTCACATCAGCTTTTACTGCAGTGCTTCTGCTTAGGTAAAATAGAATAGATTATATCTTCATATATCGCTCTAAAGCTGTTTGCAACAAATCAGTAAAGTAAGAGTAAATAAGTTCAAATAAAGATAATTATATACTGAGACCAGCAATAAAAGCAAGATAAAGTGACCTTGATTGTCCAATGTTGATCGAGATGCAGCATATTTGGTTCGGTTTATTCAGAGTTATCAAACCTTTTTCGCACAACACACTTTATTTTGTCTCCAAAAAATAAACTCCATAACTCCATGGGCACAATAAATATAAACATAACCTTATATACTCCGTATTTCATTTTAGAGTTTGTGTTTTCTTAAGAATTGTGTCTTTAATGTATTTGTGTGTGTCTGTGTGTGTAACTCACGGCCTGTGTGTAGGCGTTGTAGGCCCCGAGGTGCAGGGTCATGGGGCTGATGACCCCCAGCTGAGAGGCCACCTGTTGCATCCGCCTCAGCCCTCGCTCCTTCTCTGAATCAGCAAACTTCACCACCAGGCTGGACGAGGCACCCTGCGGGGGAAATGGGAATTAAAAACGTTTCAACATAACTCTCGACATCACGGTTGTTTCAGGATCCGAGATCATTTAATCACAACGTCCCTGGTTTAAGTTGACCATTTGTCATTGTTTTCCTTTCTTTATCAATTCTGAAGTGTCTTCAAAATAAACAAATACACCTAAAATTGTATGAATATACACTATATATGTATATATATATATATATATATATATACCATTGCAGGTAATGGTAAGAAAAAATGATATCATAAAAAATGCCATACTTGAGAGGCTTGAAACCGCATTTTCTGACATCTTTCCATGAAAAATTACTTTAATGATTTATTGAGTTTCAATATAGTTTTCGATTCATTTTCTTGTGATTTTTTGATGTTCTGATGAGTCGACTCCTTATCGCAGCAGTCTAATTTAGGCAACCTGCACCACAACTATAGACTGTATTTATACAACACACTGACCTACAGCCGTATGACTGGATTTGGAGCATCTAAAAGTGTGTACTGTATTAGAGTAAGGGTGTGACCATGTGTTTCTTTGTGTGTGTGTGTGTGTGTGTGTGTGTGTGTGTGTGTGTGTGTGTGTGTGTGTGTGTGTGTGTGTGTGTGTGTGTGTGGACTCACTGGTAAAGTACGACTCCCATGCAGAGTGTTGATGGCGGCCTGGGCCTCTGCGTTGCTCTGGTACTTTACAAATGCACACCCTACATGAAATGACACACCATTAAACATGGCCTCACACAGACTGACACACAGACACACAGACTGACACACACACACACACACACACACACACACACACACACACACACACACACACACACACACACACACACACACACACACACACACACACACACACACACACACACACACACACACACACACACACACACACACACACACACACACAGTGTACAGAAACTACTTCCCTTTAAAAATACATTAGGAGCCGTCTTACATCCAGCGCTTCATCAGTTACCGTGGCATCATTAAACATGGTCCACAAAACATTCATTGCTTCATCAATCACAGTCCGTAAACCACCAAACGGATCATTAGCCATGACCCATAAAACCTATTGCACCATTAGTCATGCCTCAAGCAACAAACGCAGAAAAATATAGCATCTGTGTTTGAACTGTCGCTGGACTTTGATTTACATGGCAAGTATCATTAGCATTGTTGTTAGTGACATTATTAATTTGCATTCACAGGACTGGGAATGTGCTGAAGGCTTAATTCTCAGGGCTGGATACACATACAAACACAGAGTCAATATAGTGAAGAGTTCAAGTTTTGGTAAATAGTGGATGATAAAGCTTTTAAAAAACGATTTGAATCACTCTGGCTAATTTGAATAAGATTTGAATAAAAATATAAAATGTCTATAATGTGTAGTAATGTCTTACTTTCACATAAGCCTATATTTTAACAGAGGCAAAGCCATCGTTAATGTTTTCATAGCTATAAATATATTATTCTAAATGTTAGTGTTTTATCACTTCATTTTATGTTTGTTTTGATCGTTTACAGGGATTTTAGAGTTTAAGACAAGTTAGAATAAAGACGTATTCAATGCCATGTCTGATTCAATTCAAGACAAGAGTAACAATAACAAAAATTGAAGTAAAGAATATGTCAATTAGGGACACATTTGGTAGAATTTTTATTGTGTTATAAAACAGGACTTATTTTACTGTACTGTTTGTGTACTCCAAATGTTGACAAGAATGCGACACGAGAGCAGAAAATCCAAATTATGAGCGATAATTCGTTGACATATATATTTAAAAAAAGTCAATAATATTAAGGCTTTAAATGTCAGTGTCAGAAAAAGGAATTCATAAAATACAACTATTTTATTTTAAAGTATTTTCAAGATCTTGAAAGATAGATTAAATACATTTTTAATACATTTTAATACCAATTGAGTTTTTTAAAGATTCTTTAGGAACTTTGTATTTTGTGTTTCTTCTGCATGTCCACAACCCTCAGCCAGGAGGTTACCTTTGCTGGTGCCGTCCGGCCCGCGGAGCACCGTGCACTCCTCTATGCTGCCGAACGGCTCAAACATCTTCTTCACATCGGTGTCCGTCTGCTGCTTTCCCAGCATGCCCACAAACAGCTTCCTGTCTTCTAAGGGGAAGGAGATCGCAGAGATGGGAGGGAGAAAAGAGGAAAATGTGCGGATAATGTGAGTGTGGTCACAGAGGGCAGAAGTGGAAGCAGATGTGTTATGGGAGAGGTGAGGCAGGCAGTGGGAAAGGGAGAGGAGCCATGTCACCTTACATGAATAATAAAAGACAACAGTGTGATAACAGCTACAAAGCAGGAGGGATCCGCCTGCTATGCTTCTCAGCGCCACCAGGGTGCAGTCACATGAACATCACAGAGAGCAAACAGCATCTGGCCATGACTCAAATGTTTGTCACCCTCTGTGTTGTCAGAGAAGCTGCTCCGTCTGTGAAGGATCAGACCAGCCTTTCTGCACGTTTTTGCACATTTACTACAAATCACAGGCACGTTGCAGAGCACACAATCCTGAAAAGCATGCCAGGTTTTATAGGTCACAACCTTTCTTTTTCTCTAAAAGCACGTTGCCTTTTCTTTCCAATGAATATCAACTGTCTGTCACAAGACCTAAAGCTTCAGGCACAGAATCAGTCATGAGCATGTCGTGGGCTGTTGTTTTATTACATTATTACATGAGATTCTGGTTGAAAATGTAATTTGATTAGTAAAATGAGCCTGTATGGTGCGTCATTGTGCTGGTTTTGAGAGCTAGCTGCCTTGAAGCATTACATTTACAAGCTGTATTTAAAAAAATAAATAATTTTTCAGTCATTTCTCTTGTAAAACATTGCCGACATGTAAGTCTAAAGCAAGAAAAATAAAACCGACCATTATGCTAACTGTGATGGATTACCTATATAGCTACATTCAAGTATCTGCAAGCTCACTATCATACAATAGTGAAATGAAAGGGAACCAAAGTCTTCTTAAAAGTATGTTTCTCAGAATAATAAACCACAAACAAAGGTGAATGTTGAATAGTGGTGTGTTCAATAGGCCTTTCTCGCGGCAGGCATTTTGAATGGTCATACTAGGAAAAACTCAGGTGTTACTAATAACATTAACAATGGCTCTGTTCTATTCAATTATCCCAGTAAGCCTTGACAGTGTGACAGCATTGACAATACCAGGACCGTAAAACTGAGGCATGCACTATATTATTTACACCTGTGCTTTTTCTCCTGTGTGATGGAGTGCCTGCTGTGACCCATGTTTTCAAATTGATTGGTTTAGCTTGCTGAAACCAAATCTGCCATTAAATAATGGTATGCTATTATGTTGCTGAGAAAATACACAAACATGTGAGGCTTTAAGCCTTTTGAAACAGTTCAAATGTATAACAGTGTGCTCACAAATGTTGAAATAGATTAGGAAATGAAATGTGATTAGGGGACTGATTGATTGGAGAAGAAGGACATTCATTGTTTTTTATCAAGTCAGATGCAGCAGTGTCTCACACTTGTTGCAATTTAAACATGCAGCTTTGAAGCTGTTGAGATTGTGCACAGTGTGTAATGTATAAGTGTAGTTTGACCCCAACTAAATATTTATTTGAACAGGAAATTGAATCTGTAAGTGGATATTGAATCACAGCTTACAGGGATGATTAAAGTCTGCATATTCTCTACGCACGTTGTTGTTGTAGTGCATATGCAATTGGTTGTTGGTAATAAAATCCTTGATCAACAACTGATATTGTCTTTTTAATATGTTGTCACACATAGAGCTCCTCTAAAAATCAATAAAGCTTACTTTTTGGCACAAAAAGTGTGGATTGAAGACTAAAAGTACTTATAATGATAGACATTGTTTGTTGTGTACAGGGTAGGGGTGTTTCTGCAGGAGCACAGGTGTTTCTGCAGGAGGACAGGTGTTTCTGCAGGAGGACAGGTGTTTCTGCAGGAGGACAGGTGTTTCTGCAGGAGGACAGGTGTTTCTGCAGGAGCACAGGTGTTTCTTACCCCCTCTGCTCTCGCTGTCTGCAGGCTTCACTTGGATTGGGCGGTTCATCTGTAAAGACAGAGGTCATGTGGCTCCGTCAGTTTTAATACAGGACAAAGGTAGTGATTATTGACACGAGAAAACAGGAAGGATAAATCAATGGAATGTATGTACCCAGAGAAACCTACTAAATAACGATGTGGCCACTACTGTCATGTAAAGTGCCAGATGACATCCATGTAACCCATGTAGAATAGCTATTTAATATGAGGTGATGCGGGTATACATGCGTGTGTACATGTTAGTGAATTTGAACAGAGCTCCAGCCTCCTGCGATCCCTCATTAATTTGTTTCCAGCTCGACTCCAGCAGCTGACGGCTGACACCAGTGTGTGATGTTACGCTCACAGCGTCACACAGTCTCTCTCTCTCAGAGTCTTTCTCAGAATCTGCTCTAATCCTGCCGTCTATCGTTCCCTCTCCCCCTATCACACAGAACCAGGAAAAGCACACACCCACGCAGGATTGGGGAAGTGATAAGATTAAGAACAGTCGCCGGCTAATCTGGATTACAGGAGAACGCAGCATCGGAATAGCGAAAGACTCTGAGCCTCACAGAGAGACAGAGATCGGGGTTAGAAATGAAAGAATAAAATGTGAGGGAAAAAACAAAGAATGAAAGAATGACAAAGAAAAAAAGGGGGCACACACGACGCAGGGGGGGGATTAGGTGACCTTTTCATAATTAATCAAAAGACAAGCTGCTGAAATGCCATTTCTTTCTCTATGTTACTCCACAATTATTATCCTTCCCTCTTTTTGGAATTGTGCGCACATCAGTGCTTCATTGCTTCAACGTATGAATGTATAGGTATTGAGTGAAATAAAGAAAAGAGCGAACAAGAGGGGGCCAAAGAGAGAAAGATGGGTGGGATTGAGAGGGATTGAGAGGAAGGGAAGGAGCATATGGTGGGGGATGTGTGTGGATGGGAGGAGGAGGAGGGAGGGTGATGTCGGTGAGGACTTGGGCTGAGAGCAACTGAGTGACACTCTGTTAACTCTAGCTTAATGAAGGTCTTAATTATGGAGCTGGTGACATTTCAGCCAGTCACTGATCCTGTGTCACTGATTGATCCGCTGTGATCGGTCACCAGGAGACACTATTGATCCTCGCCACGGTCGCGCCCCGCCGCCAGGACCCGAATGCACAAACACCGTGACCGCCCCCGTCCCCCCGTCCCAAACACCGGCTGAAATACCACCTGCTGCTGAGGCCCCTCCTCCAATTGATCGCACCAATTAAGAGGATGATAGAGAACGAGAAGGAGCAAAGTCTCAAAACCATCCTCCAATCATTCGAATAACTGTGGGCGCCCGCTTCTCGTTTAGTTAATAGTCAATTTGATCAAATTGTAGTTTAATTTGCACTCAAGATATCTTTCGGATATGGCCAACATGCTTATGAACTTTTCAATATCATTATAACAATATGACTTATGTTATTATAAATAACAAATGTTCTGTTCTCTCTTTTGCTGCCTATTGAAATACAATTTGTAATCGTATCTTTAAGATTTACTGTAAAATATATATATAACATATTCTTACTATTATTGAAATCATTTGATCCTCTTAATTTAAAGCTGCGTTACATGTCTTATGGGAAATGTTTTGAACCGAGTGTATTTTTTTTAAATATAAAGCTTTTTCACAGGTCAATATGTACACCTTTACATTATGGAGAAATAAATAATATGACTATTTTTTTAAATGTGTAAAAAAAACGATTGAATTTCAACTGGTGCATCTTTCGTAATTACAAGCTTCCTAGCTATCCTGCTAACACTAGCTATCAAAAACATAAAGTACATTATAATTTAGATATAAATGTAAATTGAAGTGCTGGTAAATTACAGAATAATAATTCTTTAGAGGAACATCTTGAAGGCTGCTTACAGCTGAACGCTTCAAACTGAACTGTTGCTTTCACAATGATGTGTAGGAGGTCACTCTTTCAGTCTCTTTAAATAGGTGGGGAGGGCCAAGAGAGTCAAAGCCGGTTTCATTGACTTGACCTGAATTGTTTCTGTGGTGGTGACATGTGAATTTAACACCATACTTACCACCACCACGTCATGCCATGTGATTGCAACACACCCTAGGAGTGTGAGTCATATGTAAGGACAACATGGGATCACGTTATTCTCTGCTTTGGGCGCCATTACTCCACCATATCCCTACAGCACATATCTGTTTGCTGCTCACTTCAAAATCACACATACAGCTGCATTAAGGAATGACGCTAAGACCTGATGGCAGTTTAAATGTGATGTCTTTGATGGATAGCATGTTTAAATTATGTTGGTAGGAAATGCTGTGGCCCATATTGCAGCGCAGGAAGACAAACAGAGATAAGGAGAGGCGCAGCAGATGGCTCAGGAGATGGGAATTATAATCTACAAGAGGGAAAACAGTGAGAAGTGGAGGCCATCGAGGCTGAGCCACTCCAGATCGGCACGGCAACCAGGCCCCACTTCTCTGACGGAGACCGTACTCGCATGGCCATCGTCATGACAACCCCGGTGATCAGAAGAACCCTACATCAGGTAAACAAGGTTGTCCTGAATGACGTGCGGAGAGAGACCGGCGAAAAACAAATGAGGAGGACAAAGGGTGCTTCTAGGTCGAGAGATAGAGGGATTAGATGTGAGAGGGAGGGAGGGAGACAAGGAGGAGAGGAAACATGAAAGACACCGAACAGAAAAAGAACGAAAAGGATGACGGAGGGTGCGCTCGAGCCTGTTGCATGTTGGCGCTGCCTCGACAGCAGAGGCAGAAGCAGGGAGAAAATCTGCCTTTAAGCCTAAACCACTAACGTACACTTTACAGTAATTTCCTCTCACTCCCCTCCTCCCCCTGTTGCTCCCCCCCTCCTTCCCTTTCTCTCTTAGGCTTGTTTACAAAAACGGTCCCACACTGTGCACAACAACACACAGGCAAAAACATGCCTGATCAACAACCAATTTTACCTGTCTGTTTTTGCTTTTTGATTTGCTTCTCCCCCTTGTGCTCCATCTAAACACACAGATATTACATACAATCATCCTCCGACTAAACACACATTCATTGCTCCCACACACACACACGCTCTGTCTGCTCCTGTCGCTCACAGCAACATCTACACACATTAATCTTTTTTTCGCTCTGTGATGCCGCAGGGGATTTTGCTAGGATTATGAGATATTAAATCCATAGATTATCCAATCAAATCACAGCTCGACCCCTTTGCCATTATGAATGACCCCCAATAACGTCCAGAGGCACCGGGGAGTGGCTCGCTCCCATGTAAATGCATCTGTGTTTTGTGTAGAGAGGATTGTTTACATTTGGAGTGAGTAAAGCATATTGATGATGATGTTTTTCTCTATTACGACCAGCGGAGCAGATGATAAGCAGCCACCGTCGTTAAGTCTAAAGCACGCTTCTGTAAAAAGGGTGACACATTTTCTGTCGCCTGTTTTTCCTCTTCAATTTCGATCCATTCTGCTGAAAAGCCGCCAAGCTGAATGGTAAATATATCAGCAGAGACCATCTCCCCTGCTCTTTCAAGAAACATTTACAGCGGGGAGTTGGAGGTGGAGGCGAGGAGATGGGGAGGGAGGGGGGGTGGGTGCACAAAGACAATTTTCCGTCTTTGCCTCCCCTCCGCTCCATCACACAGCGCTGGTCATTGCATCGTGCCGGTCGCCTAGCAACCTGGCATCCCTCGTCCCGGCCGTCTCCAGGCAACGAGACCTGCGACCGTAATCAACCTGCCACCTCCCTCCTCCCCCCGCCCCTCCCCTCCCTGCTCCTCTCTCGTCTCTGCTGCTTTTTTTCTTTCTCCCTCGCTACTCCATCCACCTCCTCAGCGCAAATGCACTTATACGCTGGGACGCACTTGTGAATTCACCCGAGGGAACGGAGCGGGCACAGGTGGAAATTGGTATATTAAAAGGCGGAAAAAAAGACGGGAACAAAAAAAACGGACAACAAAGAGTTGTAGCAAAGCGAGAGAGGCAGGGAGAAAAATAAAAATGAAAATCTGAGTCTGTTAATGTGTCCACTCGCAGATGCACACACAGATGTGCACACAAGGCAAGCAGAGAGAAAGTCTACCTTCTATTAAATACAGCCAGGCACTAAATCAATCAAACACAAAGAGACTGACAGCACAACGCTTGTACAGTTCAATAATATTTAATCAATGATCCAGTCTTCAGTGTCAAAGCTGCTCCCCGGCGCTGTCTCCTCTCCGTCTACAGGCTTCACTAGTGTGTCCAGCATCAGGGCAAAGCTGACAGCTCTGGAAGCCGACATTCAGCCTTTTTTTCGTCAACAGCCAACAAAAAAACATTCAAAGGAGAGACTGAATATCAAAGAGTACATTTCTAAAAACACCAAAGTTGCCTCTCAATTGTTTTGTCTCTTCTGACTGTTAAATATTCATGTCAAGTGTTGTTTGACTCGAATCAGTGGAGCAGAATGGGAAAAGAACTGAATCACGGCGGACAGATTTCTGTGTGTGTGTGTGTGGGGGCGTGTGCATGTGTTTGTGTACAGATAGGGTCCATGTCCTACTTTTTGAATTTGGGCATGGTTTACACTGTAACTCCGCCGTAGTCCAGCGTATATGTAGTTCAAAGAGCCTAATGAGTTTTGTGACATCAGACACTTCTGTGTGTGTTTGCCTACCACGCATGCACACACACACCCCAACCCCCCAAAACACACTATTTCTCAGTAACAGATGTCTGTATTTAAGCTGATAAACATACTGCCTCAATGCACCTCCAACCCCCTCCACGCTTACTGCCACCCACTGTTCATTATCTCAAACTTTCATTCATCTCTTCCTCCCCTCCCCCCACCCTCTCTTATTGTCCCCCCCACCCATCCCTCCCTCCTTCATTTATCCAATTTCTCTCTAATTCACACCCATTTACCACCTCTATAAATCCAATCTGCATTCATCATTAAAGTTGCCCCAGAGTGACGTACAGAGGACGGGCCCTTTTTTTGTTGTCAGTCAGCGCCGCCTGCCCTGCATCGTGCCCCCCCGTGCATTGATATGCATGCATATGTAAATGATTGGACACATGAATGCACACGTAACTCCAGATAGATTCATCACGTGAACACATTCGCTCCGAGGCACACTAATTGCTATCATCATCATCACGGCCGTAACTCACTGACATCAGGACAGAGCTACATATGGAGGCAGTGCTTTATCTGCTTGTTGTCAGATACATGAAGTAACATGCTCGTGTTCACATCATCACAGCATGTTTAAGGTCCTTAGTGAACCTTAGTGCGTCTACTTTGTGGTTGTTTGCCTAGTCACACATTAAATGTCATTTATCTGAAAAGAAAGAATGAATAAACGATTACGGTTGTATAAGAGACATAACCATGCAACTGTTCATGCCAGAGAACGTTTGCTCACATTAAGGGCACAGCGTTCTGGCACTACAACTTCCCATCTCATATCCTGCGTACAAAGCATGGGCTATATTTAGCATATGCATTTATTTCAGACTATTGATAAAACCCCTCTGTCTGCTCCGTCTGAGTCCTTATGGCTGAGTAAATGTCAGGCTTAGTCAGATGTTCCACTCAAAGAGGGCTCTTTCCTTTCGTACGGGCAGCTTAAACACAGAAGGCCTTGCAGCTCAGGTTTTACACTCTCTCACACACACACACACACACACACACACACACACACACACACACACACACACACACACACACACACACACACACACACACACACACACACACACACACACACACACACACACACACACACACACACACACACACACACACACACACACACACACACACACACACACACACACACACACACACACACACACACACACACACACACACACACACACACACACACACACACACACACACACACACACACACACACACACACACACACACACACACACACACACACACACACACACACACACACACACGGCAGATAATGAATGAAGAAACCTGAGAGCAGCCTATAATAAACCCAACAACTTCCATCCATCCATATCTTTTCAGATGTGTACTCTCCATGGAAACAAATGCACACAAAAGCAAACAGACATTTACACACAGCCGCGCACAAAAGCACACGCACCCTTCATTAAACCGTGTTAGTGCGAACACCTGCCCTCCCTTCCCCCGCTGAACATGCAAATACACACCAAACAGCTACTTTCTCACTTGGGCACAGTCGCACTATTAAATACTTATTGCGTTTAAAATTTAACGGGGAGGCATTGTCGCAAATATTAATTCAAGTGGTGTTGATGAAGGGCAAAATATTGTGTATCTACCAACACAGTCTCACGGCATTTTGTGTTATAGTCACGAAATTAATCTATTGATTCGTGTTCACCAACACGATTTCCCCATTTTTTTTCGTGTCACACAACGATTTTAAAAGCAATGTAAATAATAACAAATTAGAAGGAAAAAGAGATTTAAAAAAATACAGATTTCAGTATTCTGAGGCTCTGAGCCCGATTTCTTTTCTTCGCGGACGGCAAAAAAACTCTGACATTATAGTATTTAAAATAAAAGGGTTAGGCTTAGGGTAAGATATTGAGTAAGAAAATGTTTTTATGAACCACACAGCTTCCGGTCTTCCAAGACCCGACCGGACAAAAAGACGTGGTGCAGGCACGAAACATACTACCAATAGAAATACATTGCTTTAAAAAAAAATGCTAAAATCGTGTTGGTGAACATGAATCAATAGATTAAATTAATTTCGTGACTATAACACGAAATGCCGTGAGACTGGGTTGTATCTGCTGAAGCAGATATGAGCTTTAGGGCTGCAACTGAAAAAGAAATTCCAAACGGATCAAAGGAGAATTTTGGAAAGTATGCTAATTTGCTTTCTTGCCCAGAGTTAGATTGGAAGATGGTTACCTCTTCCATGTTTGTACGCTAAATATAATGCTGCAGCCTGTTAGCTTAGCTAAACACAAAGACTGGAAACAGGGGGAACAGCTAGCCTGGCTCCTAGACAAACAAGATGTTCTAAAAAGATAAATATGTTTAAATATGAGCGTGTTCATTATGAAGCTGTTGAGGTTCTGGTAGGAGTATTTTGCAAAGCTTCCTGTTAACAGTCTTTATGCTAAGCTAGGTTAGCATGCCGCTCGCTGTATATTTAGACAGACAGAGCAGTATCATTATTTTAAGTGTTTTACTTTTTGTCAAACCGACTGATTATTATCTCAATTTATGATTTTGCCATCTTAAAATTGTTATCAGTCCAAAAAACGAAATATTTTAAGCGTAGGCCTACTATCATAGCAGAAAAAACCGAAGACATTAACTTCTAAAAAACTGAAACCAATAAAAAATGTTTAACTTGAACACTTATTACTGATTCATCTTTGTGTAATGCCCTTTAATGGCAATAAGCTGAATGATTTAAGTTATTGATTTGATTTATATTTTGAAATGTACAAAAGTTTCTGTGTAAAATGGCTTCTTTTTAATCTGATATAATGGGATGTAATTGTCTCTATGAGGTCTCGACAGCTGACGCAGAGATAAGGCAATACAAACAGAGGGGACAAGAGTACAAGATGTCCAAGTAGGATTCAACGTGAGTACCTTCGTCCTCCATGTCCGCCCTTCCCCTCTGAGCGAAGCTGTTTTATTGCTCCCCATTTTTTTCTCTCCCTTTTCCAACCCCACTATTCTCTCACTTTCTTTCGTCGCTTTCAGCTGAATGTGCTTTTGACACTGTTCCTCCCCCTCCCACTTAGGGACGGACTCTCTCACCTGAAATTAAACACAAGGCCAGGTGCCACTCCGAAACAACCATCTGCTCGCCCTGCCTGACTTCCTTCTTTCTTTTTCTTTCTTCCTTCCCATTGTTCACAGAGAGAAAGAAAATCAGTAAAACAGTAAGGATTAAAAAAAAAAAAGCCTTAAGAATGACTCTTAGTTTCCCGAGAGGAGAAATGTGCCGAGTGTTAATGACATCTTTCAGCTTTCTCTTTTATTCAGGTGTGCTTTTTATTCCAGCGTTCTCCCCTCAGTAATAATTGCTTTCATGTTATTTCTTTTGTATCGCTCTGACCACGAGATGCCAAAGTTAATTATTCTTCGCCAGTGCAGGTGCAATTAGATGACAATTACACCACAGCTGGTAGCGAGTCGTTCTTGTGCATGTGGGAGTGTGTGGAGCTAATAATATGGTTTTCGTCTTTTTCTTCTCTCCCTCTTTTGGCATCGGAGGGGGGAGGGCAGGGAAGGATTGAGAGAGCACAGGAGGGTTTAGCTTGTTCCACACGGCTTAGAGGTAAGAGGTTGTGAGGAGGAGAGCCGCAGGGTGGAAACACAGGGGGGACAGGGCTTTAGCCGCAAGACATTGGCCCTCGCTGATCCCCTGTGAGAGGTCAGGAAGGTCACGCTACTGTCACGCTAACAATAGGATCTCTTTTGTTGCCACCCCAATACCAGCCTTCTCCTTCAAACTGATTCGGTGTCCCCCAAAAAAAACCTGCCTGCCATAAAAACAATGTTCTGCTAAGATAATCAATAAGTCAATTTTCGTTCCTGAGTAATTGTTAACTTATCACGGAAAAATGTGGACTATCATTTTAACTGGCATCTCAAAATATGAGGGTTGGTGCTTTATTTTTACTTTAGGGATGATCAATTCATTGTGTTGGTTAGTTATAATGATTTGTTTCCAGCAAACAGCCTAAAACTCATATATAATAAGTTAAGCATCACATGTGAAATAAAAAAGGCAGCTCACACTGACATTTTTGCTTTAAAGATACTCAAATGATTAATCAAAACAGTTGCAGATACATTTCCTGTGACTAACCAATATTTCCTTTCTTTATCTGGTTCCTATTTCCAGCTATGTGAATATTTGCTGTTTTCCTTTGTCTACTATGATACTAAATGAATCACCTTTGGGACTGTTCTTAGGTCAAAAACAAACAACTTGACCACATTACCAAACAGAATGAATAATTAATCGGTACTGAAAATAATCTTAAAATGCAGCCCTACACTGTTCACCTGCTTCTTTCCTCAAAAGACTATGGTCATGATCTGTAATTGGGGCATGGAAAAAGTGTGAATAATTTCAACAAAAATAACCAAAAGGAAACAGGGGGGAAGCCTTGTTAGTAAAAGAGGAAGCAGCAGCGAGTCTGGGAGCACACTCTGTCTCAGTAATTCCTTGCCTTGTCGCCTTGTCTCTCATATAGTCGGTTATTATAGAGACGTGGCTGTCATGTCTTATTTAGCTCTGGAAATGTCATATGGCAGCACACCTGCTGCCTGGCTATGCTAATAAAGCTAGGTTTAACTTTGATTAGAATTCAGAGGGAGAGATGGATGGAAAGAAGTCAGTGGGGGAGGGGGAGGAGGGGGAGAGAGAAAGACGGAGACACAGAAAGGAAGAGAAACATCAGAGAGAATAAGAGCTGGCAAAGTCACTTCAGCAGCAAGCCTGTCTCTTTCGACCCGTGACATGTTGCGAGATGACTCATGCCTCAACTGGATGGATATGTCTGGATGCATCACATATGAAACATAAGAGAGAGAGCAGCCTGTGACCTTTATTGGAGCATATCAGCTAAAGGGGGAAGTCAGGCTTGCATGTCAAACTCGATTAATTTTCTCGTGTCACTGTGGGTCCGTCTGTGTCTGTGTGGTGCGCTCAGATAGCCTAGCATGCCAGTTGTTCTGATTCCCTTTGTGTATAGAAATATAAATATATTTAAACACAATGTGAGGATTTCAAAAAGACACTCACCCCGGGTAGTGTCTTCTGCTCGTGCAGTGCATTCTGGGCTTTGAGGGCGGACTCACGTGCACAATATGTCAGGAAGGCACATCCTGGAAACAAAGACAAAGTGTAAGAAGATCAGAGAGAATAATCCATGTATGTTTTATGTCAGATTCATATGCTATATATATATATCTAGATTAGGCAGTGCAATGTTATTGTTAATTAAATCTGAATTGGCCATTCGCCCTGAATGCCTGCAGGCACAAACATGCTGCTGCAGTTTATTGTCCTATTATTAATCTGCCAGTTGATATATGTGCTTTGGATTTATCTTAACAACAGTTCTAGGTCAACATGTGATTTCGGAAAAAAATCCTCCTTCCTTAAATGAGGCCATCATTATTAAAGATGTATTTAAAGTTGCATGAAACTACATTTAAATAACAACGAACATTTACATTTTGTAAAGTAGCTCTCCCAGTAGCACTGGAGATCTATGGGATTATTAAATAATAATACCTGGAGACTATTCAGACAAGAGCAGTCCTAATGGTTATTTAATATCATGCTGGTGAGGCCAAATGTATGCAGTACCACATAATAGAGAAAGGCCTTCATTAACCTTTAGGGCTCAGACAAATCATGAATATGTAAATGAATGCAGAATAGGTGTTATAGGTGTAAGAAGGCTCATAGCACCTGGCCTATACGTCTCCCAAATGGCTGATGGTTTATGTGGATTTATAAAGGCCTTTGTTTTCTGCACTCAGATTTGCATTAGAAACGACAGTAAGGATCATTGTTCAGCGTAGATCACTTTGACCAGCTTCAGCCCATCTGTCACGTAGGATTTTGAGTGTGTTGAGGCTCTACTTGTTCACCATGTGACGTGCAGTAGCAGTAGTGGTGACACTCTCTCAAACAGATAGCCAGATATCACCATGTGAGGCTCATTATGCAAATACTTTTATTAAGATTGATCTTACACCACTTGCTTCATAAGAATTTAAAGAAAGAAAATGGAGAGCACTGTGCAACATTTTTTATTTAACCGTCTAAAATAATAGCTTTTTTTTCTCCTGCAGTTTTTAATTGTAGCATCCAGAGGTAGGCGTGAACGGAAACCTCCCAGCATGCATCAGAGGGGCCATTATCTCCTGTGTGTTTTACACCGTGCTCAACAATGTTTACACATTTCAATTGTTGTTACAGAGTTAGTTAGCTTCCCAGTGTGTGCATATGTTGAAGAGTGACTCAGGCGGAAGAGTGTTTTGACCAATAATGTAAAAGTTGTTCAGTCACACTGAACTGCAAACTGCTCTCGACACTCAAGGTTTGGGTTTGTAGAAATATCATAACATTTTATTCTTAATGTGTTTTTGGTCTTTATAAAAGAGCTACCTCTTGTTTTCTTTCTCCTACAGTCTGTAAAGTATTTTTAGAAAACTCTGGGAATCACTTTATAAGACTGATGCATTATTAACTAAAATGATATAACATTTCAAAATTAAAAAGGTTTTCTGAGGTAGATGAAATTAGGCCGAACACAGTTGAAAGAATTTAGTGTGAATCATTGCCTCATTAAAAAAAAAAGAAGTCCCGGCTGATCAATACTTTAGTCAGTCCATGTCTAAAAGATTAAATATTTAAGACACGTAATATCTAAAATATTTATTTAATAGTCAGTCTGTGAAACGCGATGTATCAAACTTTTAACCAACTAAGCTTTCTTTTATAGATCAATGGTGCTTAACATCCGGTTTTGGCCTCAGAGGGGTCATTGCAAATGCTCCAGAGGGACAATTACTAAGTGAATAGCTTTAACCTCTGATATTTACTGAGAATAAAAACCTGAGGATATATGACAGATATTTCAAAAACATGCCTCATCACTATATGATTAGACTAAATTAGCAGTATATTCCCCCCAAAGATTGTGTCGATTGTGAGTAATTGGCCCTTTATCCCTCACCTTTGTGCATCCCTGTGTATTTGTCCTTTATCACCGTCAACTCATAGATCTTTCCAAACTGCTCGAAGATGGGCTTCAGGTCCTTCTCCTCCAGGTTTCGGGGGATTTGCCCGATGAAGAGCTTGATTGCGTCAGGCTCCTTCATTGAGAAGTCTGGGGAGGAATAAAAAAAACACACACACACACACAGCAGGAGAGGCGGTCAGGAGGAGCAGACAGGAGCCTGCGGGCTTAAATTCACACTGCACAGGAGGTGCAAACAGGAGGCCGGGGATGGAGGTGCAGATGGGAGCTTTCAGTGGAAATAGGGATGGATGGGGGGGGGGGGGGGGCTGTACTAACAGTTTCTACACCCTGTAGTCCAAATGTGCCAATACATTTTGGGAGTTTTAAACATTATCATCACAATGAAAACATAACATTATATTATAGTCTAAGATAATCACGTAAATGGGTTAACATCTCACTAAGTATCATAAAGACTTTATAATCTCTCTGTTGACTATGATTTTTAAATTGTAAGTATAATTTATGTAGTCATTTATTGCAACTACACATCGTTTTTGATACTATTTGACCAGCTGAAGCAACTACTTTGTTTGTTGTTGGCATTAAATACAAAATAAAAGCATCTAAATAACAGAAAATGAAATTATAATCTCATAACTTTCATATTCTTGGAAGTAGATGGACATTAGGGATCAATAATCATGATTGATGGTAAAGAACTATGTTTGCCTGACATAGCCATGACTATAAAGGGTTATACATGTGGTATCGAAGTAAATAATAGTAGGCTACACAGTGCACTGATATTCTGTCTAGGCCGCCTATAAGCCCCAAGAGAAACATGACAGTGTCTGTCATCACAGCTGGAGACCTGCGCTCTCTTTGTCGAGACACGGGTTACAACAACAATGACCCGAACATGATTTTACACATTTCACTCAAAACGAAACACAACAAAGAGTTTCAAGAAATACAAATCATACCTGTGGTGCTGTTCGTGGCAAAGACTCGGCGTGATCCGTGGATGTCTTTCTTCGTCCCCCCCGCTGTTATTTAGTTATTGAATCTCAATAATTCAGTTCATTTGTCTGTACGAGCGTCTTTGAATCCTGTAACAAGTTAGGCCTGTACCCCCCTTATAACAACACAAGTAACATCCAGCGACGGTCCTTTATTCGGCATGAGCGTCTTTTTCCAGATCTGCTTGTTGTTTTTTCCCTGACAGATGCTCCGTGTTTTTTCCCCCTTCCAAATAAATCTGACGTAAAAATAAACAAATGTCCGTCTCTGCTGAATCAAGAGTGTTGTGAATGATGAATTGAGGCTCCCTTCAGTAGACCGTGGGGAATTGGCAGTCCGGTCGGCTGTCCTCTCCTCTCCCGCTCGCTGTGTGAGTGTGTATGTGTGTGTGTGTACTTATTTGACGTCGTAAGCCGGTGTCTCCCTCCTCCCTGTCCATCTCAGCTCCATCCCTCCTCCCCCCTGGCTGAACGAGCCGTGATGTCTGCCGCCAGGGACCGTCGCAAAATTACCAGCCCCGTGTCAGCCGGAGGTAATGAGAACACATGAAATACAGTCATGCCTGCCATGTCATTCTTAATTAGCATGTATCCGTTATAAGGTTAGGTTCTGTAATTACTGACTTGTGTATTTTTTCTCTATCAGACTTCAATATTGTGCACGGTTTCTCTTTTTTTTGGTGCCCTAATCCAAAACACATTTTCTTGAATGGACAATAATGTCTTCAAATACAAGATTATTATAAATGATAGTAGCTAGCTACCTCATAATAATACAAATGCACTATATTTAAAGATGTTTTATCTATTTAGTGGTATTTATTTATGTCATAACCCTGACTAAATACCCTAATGTTGACTATAGGTATCAACTAATGTCTGTTAACTTATATCTTATGCTAGGCTATTAGAATGAACCTGTTAGCTCAAATGGTAGCGCAAGGACATGTACTCACCCTTTGCTGCATGTTATTCTCTCTTTCTCCTTTCCCTTCCCTGTCTATCTTTGGCTATAATATAAAAACAAGGCAAAAAATGATCTTGAAAAAAAAGAGTAGGTCCCCCCTGTAAGTGGTACGGGTAATTTCCTGTGCGTTAAACCGTAATCTTTGCATTCCCTTGTTGGTACAAACTATTATTCCACACTGTAAGTACAATAAATGAACTGTAAACTTGTTTGATGTATGTACATGGCTGGCTGTATTTTAAATTGTGTATTCCCAACATTTATTTTTCTATTTGGCTTGTTGGATTATTTGTGGAATATATTAAATATCACAAAGCTGTACAGTAAATTTCCAATCACATTTCCCAAACTGATATATTTATATTGTTTGTTTTTGTTTGATGGTCCAAACCTGAAGATATTCTATTTAATATCATGACATAGAAAAACAACCCAATATTCATTTAAGCTATTTTTGGCATTAAATTACTCAAATGATAACTATTATAGCAACATAGTCATGTCAGATGAGTATGCATTGTTTTTTCTATCTGTTGATACCTTGATATCCAAAACAAATGGTGTTTAATAATATGTGTCCCACTCCTACCTTGTAGCATGCCCATCTTACATTTGAATTACATTTGTGGATGGCTAATTATTGTCAAAGTTTTGCGATACATCTGTTTTGCATAGCACTTTGTGGCCTTTTGCATTCATTGATAAACCAACTTTTCCAACTCAGTTGAGGTGAACTTATTTAATATATATATTCAAAAAATGTTCCTTTGGAAGTCCAACTTTTTTTCCAGGGTGACATCTTATATTAAGTCTGTAAAGTTCAGTAACAGGGAATGGATGCACGGCAAGAGTTTAACAAGAACTAAACCTGATAATACAAAGACGCAAACTAAAACAAAGCCTTAAAAGCATTTTGGATGAAGTCATACAGCTAGGATATGCTTTAAGTTGGATAATGTTAGAATTTAGGTAATCACATTTGAAGAGGCTTAAAGATAGGGCTGTTAAGAAGTCATGAGGATTTTTCTCTGAGGGATTTATCATATTTTTCGTTTTTATTGTAGACACTAAAAAAGCAGACGGTCCCTGACATCAAGAGATGCAAATCCGCCTTTTGTTCTCGCCGTGGAGCTGGCCCTGGTGCTGAAATGGGTCTAACTCCATTCGTGACACGTTATCCTGAGAGTCTACAATATTTCCTCTCCTATTGAAAAAAACAAACATTAAATCAATTAGTGAGCTCTTAAAAGCTGGGACCGTGGTTTTACATCGCAAAAACGCACACACACGCCCTGAGTGAAATCTCGACAGCATGTAAACAATGAGCCCACATGACACGCAGGAGGCTGCACACACCCCACTTGCGCACACGATGACACTTCAAAGGAGTCACGATTTGGTTCTGCGTGGCTTCAGCAATATTAAACGTGTTTATTTTGAAAAACACAGCAAACCCCTGACCCAGGATTGAATCGTTAAATCCTTTATTTACAATAGGGGAGTATCTCCTCGGCTTGTCTCTAATGTTAACACCGCCATCTGCCATCAGTCACTAAATCCTGTCTTCTGCCCTTCAACCCCAATATAAGCCTACCGTGCGGGCAGCCAACCGAAAATGAATTAATGTTTATATAGGAAAGCTGCGCCACGAGAACATTTGAATGAGTTTTAGTGTCACTTTCACAATGGATGTCATTTTTTTCAGAGTGTAACCAACAACGACATCTGGTGACAAGCTGCAAACACACGCGAGGACAGTGGTCGTGAATATGTTGCACTAGGTAGAAGACATGGCAAAGGATTGTTTATTATGGGATTTTTATTAAGTGGCCTTTCGTGCTGTGGAATTGGTGAAAGTATTATACAGATAATGTGTTCGTAGCATGTTGTGTTTACTGGTTGAGGTGCAGCTTATCTTTATTAAATGTTGGGCAGTTCAATCTCTAACACAGCATCCATTACTTTTTTGGAGTCCTAAATACTTGTACTTGTTAAATAGAAAAAGTGTTAGTGCAGCAAGGTAGTTCTTCAACCTGTATTTTGAAACAAAAGAGTAAGGCACATTACAGGACTAAACCTTTTCAAAGGAAATACTTCAAACAAATGAATTATCTCATTCCAAAAATGTCCCACAAAATGTTTTTTTGGCTTTTTCAACATTTTGAGAGAAATGGTTCTGAAAGGACATAAAACAGCTGCTAATTGTGAGAATAAACAGACAACACAAATTTGTTTTATTTCAAAGAAGGAACAATAGATCTTTATTTCATAACAATGTGCATTAAATGACCATTTCTACATGTTGCAGGTGGATACATCCCTTGTGGAACTCATTGAGATGTAATTGTGTGTATGAGTGACACAATATATAGTTTAAGAAGTATCCAATAACTCTGAATGTACTTACCCACATGGGCCTCTCTGTTCATCCTCCCAGCTCTCCTGAGATTCCCCCTGAACACAAAGAAAAACAGAGACAATTTCAACATTTTATTTCCCCTCACCTTTGTATTGATTTGATTTCCTGCTAGTGTCTGATGTATTAAACTGGAGGCTCACTCACATCTCTCACATGCTGCACAGCATTCATGATAGAACAGAAGAGCCAGGAGCTGTGCAGGATTCAAAGAGGAGAGCCACCACAACATCAAACCCCCTCCTCCTCTTCATCATCAGTTAACATGTGGATAAGGTTCCCATCACATCAGACACATCAAAGTGTGGCTCTGGATCCCTGAGGGGGACGACAGGAGGAGGGAGGGAAGGAAAAGGAAATAGGTTAGAAATCAAGGGAAATTAGATTTGTCTAAGGAAGTAAACATTATTTCCATCTCAGGATACATTATTAAACACACATCTGAATTATCATGGCATATTTCAGCACGTGGAGAACAATAAACGATATCATCAATCTCAGTGAAAAAGTATAAAAACATCTAGATTTCTTTTTACAATGGCTGCCATTCGTCTCACGAAGCAGGCTGATAAAGTGAAAGTGATCCTGGAAAGGTCTACTGACATCTGGCGACGGTTCACCCACATTTACAGCACTATTTATTATCAGTAACGTTTTATTATGACTGATTACGTCGTCCCGACTCCTGCCTCGTAATAATAGTTTCTGTAAAATAAATCCGCACTACTTTATTACGCACAAAATCAAAACATTTGTTCAAATCAGCTTTTAGTTCGTTTTTTATAATTGTCTCACCGTGTGCTGCACAGTTGCACGAGTGTTTTGAAAAAATCGATGCTAATTTCCCTGAACAAAGGCTATAATGATGGGAGAGCAGGTCCTAATAAAGGTCAATCTCACCCAAAATAATGAATCACGTTGTTAGAGCAATTAACGGTGAAATGTGAAACTTCCGCGTCTCGTTTGAGTCTACGAGTTAACCATTTATTTTTCAACACATCGAAATTCAGATAATTCGGTAGTATAAAATGTAACATATGTGATTTATTTTTTCTTAAATCGTGACTAAGCACAGTTAAAAGAGCTTGATAGTCTAAACATTCTATTTTGATAAATGTCATACGAATTGATTTATTTTAAGAGCATCAATTAAGTGAGTGATTAATTATCCAACAACGAAGTAAGGTGTTCAAGTCCAAAATATCCAATTAACATTTGATTATTTTTGCAAATTAATTAACCAAGTAGGACTTTAATGCCTGTTAGGTAATTGCCTAATCCATCTTACTGATTATCACTTTGGCTTGCAAACTTCTCCCACTGAAGGGTTACCTTAAAGAGGCAGAAACAGAAAGCCCTCTACTGTGCACTGAGGGAAACAAACACGTGTTCCAGAAGGGAAACACTGAAGCCTCGACTGGAGATGTGTCCATTACACCACCAGGGCAGATAGAGGGAAGGATTTCAAACCAAATAGAAAGCTTTAAGGCTCAACAGAGGCAGTTACACCTCATGTTATCAGATTTGGTTGAGTTCCCACTAGAAAAGCAGATTCATATTTTCAAAGATAAAGTACAATTGAAAATATCAAAACGCAACAGGTTTAAGAATAACAGACATAAGAAATAACAGAATCAATGTATAAGCCCTGTAATCAGTGGAGAATAAGTTAAGCTTAATAGAGTCCACTGAAAACAACAGTCTAAGGCAAATTTCCCTAATCATCCACTAATCTAAATGTTCGATTGTATTACTAAAAGCAAACTTTGTGGAGAAAATACTACGAATACAACATGAAACTTCTCTTTCACCTGTAACTGACTACACTAAGTAACTTTGTCTTTTATGGTCGGTTCAGTTATCTGTGGCCCGACTAACCAAACAGAAAAGTTCACACAGGTTAAAGTAACCTCGGTGTGGACAATGTTTAAAGTTTTTCTTTTAATAATATTGAATTATTTAACTAGAGCAGACTTTTTTTCCAACCTATGGTAATGTTAACTTTTCTTTACAAAATGGCAGCATTTGAAGGAAATGCCTTATGCTCGACGTGTTACCATTTGGATGCAGTTAATGTACGCAAGTTAGGCAGATTTGTAGTCCTTGAATGATTACTTTTACCTCTCTGGAATAATATTGCATGGTAACAGCAACCTTTTTAAGACCTAATAGAAAACTAACAGTGGATCAAACCCTTCCCAATAATCTTATTCCCCATGAGTCTCAAAATAGTGAGTAATTCTACAAAAAGCACTGACGCACTCCGGTGCTGCGTACAGACGATGACTAATAGGTAGGGGCAGTGGTGCAACAGTCTAAGGATCAAAGGATAAAAACAACACACATTTTTCAAACTCAGATTTTTATTAGTCAGTACAAGTAAAACGAAACTGAAGACGATTTTCTTCATCCCCTCCTAAAATGCACTTCTGCGTCGGAGTTGGAGGCAGAAAGAAACTCACAGCTCTCTCCTCCTTTGAGTAGACATGAGCCGCTCTCCGAAACCTAAAAACTATCGCCGCAGGTATCTCACGCACAGGTGGAGAAAGCATCGCTTCACAAATATATATCATTCGGTGTAGAAACAATGCAAAAATGTTTTGCTTAAAATATGCGAACGAGAATCGTAGAAGGAACATAAATTCTATAACATATTTCAGACCCAAAGGGATTTAATTTAAATTGAGTTTTGACCAAAAGCTACTTGAAACGGCTGATTTGAAGAGAAGCAGTCAAAACTGCTCACTGAAAAAACTATATAACAGCAGAAACATTGCACCAACTACATTCTTTTGTTTCTCTTTTAGCAAAAATAACTATCGTCGAGTTCAACGTCCGGTACGAGTTAACCTACACTTGAGCGCATGCACACACGCATACCATGCACACACTCAAATGACGCTCTAATCCATATTTAATGCAATGCTTCATACTGGAGGAAAAAACACAAAAAGTGAATTATATATATATATATCCACCTCTTATTTTCTTTCATCTTCTGTCTTCACTCTTCCGCTCAGCAGCCCCATCAGAGCCTCCTGGTGTCTCTTGTTCTCCTGCTTTATTCTTCACCCCTCTTCTGGTATCAGCTGAATTCATTCCTGGTGACCACCTCTGCTCTTTCATCCACCTAGATTTTCACAGGTGTGGAACTCTGACCCTGCCTTCATGACATCCATTAATTTAAGAGCTCAGAGCTTCATGCCCACTCAGTACCGTGGGGGTTGAAAGGGTCTTTTCGGGGGGAACATTGGACCAGGATGTCCGCCTCCTCTTGGACCAGGACGTTTGCCTCTTAACCTTGGACCGGGGCCCTGGAACCGAGGAAATGCTGCATTTGGGGGTCCTCTGGGGTGTGGGTGGTGTGCTGGGTGAGGAGGCCGATGTGGAGGCCGTGGTCCAGGATGACGAATTTCAAGATGATGTGGTGGAGGTGGTCTCCTGGGAGCGAATTGCGGAGGACGGGGGCTGTGGCCCTGGTAGTAAGGGTCCTCTGAGGCCGTGTGAGGGGGAGCGGGGGGCCCTCGAACTCTGGGGTAGTGCTGCGGAGGGTTACCTGGCCTGTGATAAGGATCTTCTGGGTGGGGGAAATGGTCTTCTTGAAAGAAATGGGCATCATAATGATCATGATGGCGGGGGTCATCTTGGTAACCCGGGTCGTCTGGGTGAGGGGGGAAATCCTCCGGGTGAGAAGGAAGGGGTCTGTCTGGGTGAGGATGGAAGTCTTCAGGGTGAGGATGGAAGTCTTCAGGGTGAGGATGACGCGGTCTGTCGAGTTCATAGGGCGAATCATCAGGATGGAACATGGATTTGTGTTGATGGTCGTGGACGATCATCCCGCTGATGACACTGTCGCCTCGGGGCCCGATTGCCTCCCCCGTCCCAGCGCCGGGCCCCGGGTGCTGCTGCTCTGGTGGCATCATCATACTGCTGTTCCCAGAAGGAGGGGCGTCTAAAACTCGAGGAGGGGGAGGGAGCTTTGGGATAGGAGGGAGGGTGCCTCTGAAGTAACCAGGGGCCGTGGCGGCGCCCTGCTGGGGGGCCAACTGTTGAGGTTCCCGAAATGTCTCTGTTTGGTACGGATAAAGTCCCGAGGAGTTGTGTTCTCCAGGCCCCGTCACATTGTAGCCTCTGGGTTGCTGGGAGTTCCCCCCTTGGTAACTGTCCCCATACCAACCGCTTTCACTCCCCCCCTGAAAGCCTTTCATTGTCTGTGTGCTACCGGCACCACCTGGGGGTCTTCCTCCAGGCCCCGGCCCTCCTGTTTGTGCAGACATCTGCTGGTAGTGAGCACCGGGGGCGGCCATGCCATGCTCCGAAACGTTGTGTTGGCCGTAAGGGTACGGCTGGTATGCCTGCCCGTTCTGAGGGCCCCCCCCCGGCTGCAGGCGGGCCTGCTGTGGGGGATTGTTGTGCTGACTGCTGTTCTGGTATGCTACAGGAGCCATGGTAACCGTATCTCCAATCGATGACTGATTTGTCTTGGAGGTGAACGGGACCACCACAGGCTCGTCCATTATTTCATCTTGAGTTGGGGTGCTGCCGCCCTCATCCCGCACTGGGGTCCCGCCCTGGTTGTCTGTCCCAGTTACGGGGCTGAGGTTGTCCGCTGCTGCCACAGGCTTTGTGGGAAGACTAATGCCAAACGCATTGAAAGCCGGGTTCCCCTGCAGAAAGCTGTGGATTTTAGACTCCAAGCTATCCGAGGACAAGGCCGGTGATTTCTCTGTAGTCAGATCCATGTCCCGATGGAGAGCCTGGACCAGAGCAGATGCTGCATTTGAAGTCTTGGGCGGGGCTTGGGAACTCAGACTCTGCCTTTCAGTGGCGCTGTGTGAAGAAGGCACAGGTGCAACAGACGGGAGAGACGGGCTCTGAGAGGGTGCTGCTGACGCGGATGTGGATGACGGAGGGATTTTTCCTGTACTGGACGAGACTGAGGAAACATTTGGGCTGCTCAGAAGAGAAGAGATACCTGAGTGAAGAGAGAAGAATACAGAAATGCACTTTAAGCAAACATACCTCTTTGAATGTGTGATATCAAATAAAATATGTTTTTATTTTCAGACTAAACAAGGACTCCTTTTTCTCACCCCCGAGGCTGCCTCTACCCTGGACTTTGGAGAGAGCGCCCAGGATGTCTGCAGGACTCATGTCCACCTTAGAGAGGAGGTTCACCAGAGAGCTGGCTTCATGAGGGGCCACAGGGGCCGCTGGTGGACTCTTCAATGAGGAGGCAGCAGGGGAGGCTGCAGGAGGACTCTCCACTAATGGTCCTATAACACAGAGAGGGATACAAGGTGTTTTAACTGCAAAAGCCCTTAAATATAACAATAGGATTTTGGTAACATATTTTTAATAAAGAAAGAAAATATTTGATACATGACACCACACATACTATGTCTTAGAGATGCATTTATTACAATTTTGTTCCATTTCCTGCACTTTTCACTACGTATGGCAGCTGATGCTGACTTGTGGCCAGCTGTGTTCATGTTGTTCCACAATGACTTATTATGGACTTGCAGGAGTAACAAAGTGCAAGCTTTATTTCTTCTTCACTCACACTGAAGAACTCCCACACTGACAACATTGTGTGTATGTAGCATTACCAGTATTATGTCACCAGACTGGTGACAATCGCTTTGGAAAGGTGGCCAATCAATCATTGCATCTTTACTTTGTGTTACATTTGATCACCATTTTACTTTTCTTTTACAGTTTTCAAATAGTGTTTCAGTAGCCACCAGCACTCACCTGTGTTCTTCATGACTGCATTCAAACTGTTGAGTATGGAGCCAATTTTACCCAGGTCCACACTTTCCACTGCTGCACGAGGCATTACAAGAGCCGCGGCTACAGGAGGCGCGGCTACAGGAGGCGCGGCTACAGGAGGCGCTGTTACAGGAGGAGCTGCTGCAGGAGGAGTAACTGCAGGAGGAGTAACTGTAGGAGGAGTAACTGCTGGAGGAGTAACTGCTGGAGGAGTAACTGCTGGATTACGTGCAGGAGGAGTAAGTGCAGGAGTAAGTGCAGGGGGCGGGACCTGTGTGACAGGCTGCTCTGGTGCCACTGCTGCCTCCGCTTTTAAAGAGGACACCTTTGGTTGGATGGGGCTTTCAATCTGGTCCTCAACTGAAGAGAGAGATACAGCAGAGAGGGAGAGAGAGAGTTTTGATGCGATCAGATATGCACTTCATGTAATAAAAAAGGACAATTATCTCATGCTATTTTTTAAATAGGCAACACAATATATCGTATCAAGTTTTTTTAAAGCGCAGTTAATTTATGGGAACGTAGTCCAGTTATTTGTGAAAAATTAAAATGTATTACACAGGTTATGCATCTAACAAGTTTTAATAAAAACATTTGATTAAGTATAGAAACCAAGTTAAAAAAGGACAGTTCTTATCTCGCATAATTTAGAAGGAAAATTACAAAATCTATAGATATTACGCAAAATGTTGAAATAATGTAGGTCTCTATAAAAGAAACCTCAATCAGCTGACTATGCACTCAATACATTTCTCCATTATTTTGTTCAAAATGTCAGTAAATAGTTCATATCCAGTTCCAGCTCAGTATGAGTGGAGCATTGAAAGCACAATCAAACGGTTAATATCACACAAGAACCAGTATAACAATAACATCTCTGCAAATGGCTTATATAAACTTTAAGTGCATGTATATACTGGTGAAAATAACATCCAACCTATCAGAGTTTAGTTTGGTATAAACTAGGGATCCTCCGATCGCCAATTTTGGGGCCGATCGCCGGAATCAGTATCGGCCGATACCGATCGCCGATCCGATCGAGTGGGCGGGGCCTAAATGGAAGATTTAAACATCACTTTAAATCTTCCATTTAAAGTGATGTTTAAAACTCAGTTAATGGGGCTCATTCACTGGAGCTTCCACAAACAACAATCAACTTAATTATTACATTCAAATTATGTATATTATTCAAGTTTACATTCACTTTGGATAATACCACGGGAGAAATGAGCAAGCGCTCTCTTTTCCTCTCTCTCCCTCTCTCTCTCCCCCTCTCTCTCCCCCTCTCTCTCTCTCCTGACAGCCCGTCAGTATCTCCTGCAGCTCACTGATCCAGTAATGAGTGACCCGACAGTGAAGAATAAATATATTTATAACTAGTTTAGCTTGTTCCAGAGGTAGATAAAATAGCTAAGTGTGTTAGGTCTAACTCTTGTGTGTTTCGCTCCGCTCACCGGTCCGTCACAGCGGGTGGAGCTGCAGGATTTCTGCTTCACACACACGTTGCATACCGCTATTTTACTGTCTTTTTCGGACACCTTAAAATAATGCCAGACCGGTGAAGCCATTTTGGCGAGCTTGTTTTGCCGCGTACAGAGAAAAGTGTCATGTATTTTACGTCATGCGATCGGCCCTCGCGATCGGCATGTTTAGAGAGCACCGATCGATCGGTAGAGAGTGAGTATCGGCAGATCTCGATCGGTAGAGAGTGAGTATCGGCAGATCTCGATCGGTGACCGATCGATCGGAGCATCCCTAGTATAAACATAGCACATACAGCCTGGACATTTACCTAGACATAAATAAAAGTGGTAAAAAAAATTCAGATTTTCTGTAGTTGTAAAAATGTGTCTAATTTTAATTAGATGGCTCTACGGGAGGGAAAAGTGTCGTAGCCAAATTGGCTGGAAGAAGAAATTCTTGGATGGTCTCCGCTGACATATGAAAGCTGTGACAGGAGTTTTGTGGGATCTGCATGATTCAGTGACTTCACTTGTCTATTTCTTGAACACATTTCCTGCATATCGCTGCCAGAGGCATTCATAGATGTTACATTTAAAAAGCCCTCAGTGAGCAGTCAGTCATTAAGTCCCTCATCAGCAGCCCACTCCTTACCTATAATGCCGCCGCTGTCCATTTCTTCGTCAGAGAGCTCCATGTCCTCCACCTCACGGTTGTCACTCTGCCCGACGGTCTCCATTTGTTTTGGGGATCCTCCCGGGGAGGACAGCGGGCTCGGGGCCGGCGCGTCGGCTTCATCCTCCATCGCACAGCCGTCAAGATCTGGATCGGGGTGGGCCATCTCCAGGTCGTGAAAAGGGGACTCTGAGCCCGTTGGAGAGGGAGCGTCTGCGGAAGGCGAGGGGATGGGAGACTCGTCCATGTCTGGCAGGTTGGCCTTCAGGGAGTCCAGTTTACGCTTCAGGTGGGACACCCGGTTGGCGAACGTCTGGTAGGCCTTGAGAGGAGAAGTAATAGAGTTGCAATTAATGAAAAGTCAAACTAAAATGGACTAACAAATAATGCTAAGATAATTTGAATTAAATCAATTTTTCTAAACTGCAAGCATGTAAACTTAGTTGTAGGTGGGAAGCAAGGGTTGTGATATCTGACACCAAACTCACTGTCACTCACATTAGCAACAATCTTGACCTCCTTGTACTGCATCTCGTAGAAGATATCTGCGTTGCTGAGGGACTGCATGAGAGGAGGCCCTACTTTGATTTGTTGGTCAAAGAACTTGACAAAGTCTTGCAGCTGCGTACTTCCTTCCTCAAAGTCCTTCGAGAATTTCTTTCCTCCTGCCTTATCTGTAAAAATCAAGAATGTAAGGGTGATTTTTAAGGGAATGCAAACCAAGGGCCATCTGTGTGTTGCAGGAGGACAGACGGTCCAAGAGTAAAAGATGAGTAGAGCTGGCACCTTTGAGTCTCTTGAGGGCATCAGAACTGCAGATGTCGACTCTCATCGCTGCCAGCTGTTTCTCTCTCAGGTCTAACTCCTCCAGAGACTTCTTGTACTTGGACAGATCGTCAAACAGAGCCTGGGGCTAAAGCAGAGAGAGCAGGCAGCCACAATGTCAGACCATCAGATACAAGCATTACTGTTAAATAACAATGTTCCAGTTTAGGTTGGTTTAAAACTTTAATGTCTTGCTCACCACAAACTCAGCAACAATCTTGGACTGTAGATCTGCTTTAGACTCGACTGGAGCTTTAAAAAAAAAAAATAAGAAAAATTAGATATTACATTAAATTCAGTATTTGGATAACAGAATACAATATAAATGTTAAAAATGCATGTTTTTGGATACTTGCATTCATTACAAAATGAAAAGCTGTACCCCCCCGGTCTATTTTTTTTTTTTTTAATAAAACAAATTAAAAAGCTGAATTAGGCATTTACTTTTTTGCTCCACAGGGGTCTCGGGAGGGGACTCCTCTTTGACTAAGTTGCTCCTGAGCTCAGTGATGAGGGTCCCTGCATACACCCCCCTCTCCTCCCAGATGGACAGGATCCTCTCCACAGCTTTTAACACCTTTGGGTCACCTTCAGTGCTAGAGAAAGAAGGACAGAATAACTATAAGGGAGCACAGAGATTTATGTTGTGTTGTTGTAATGACATTTGTGTTTTATATGTGAGGCTTTTCTTTGAATGAATAAAACAACAAACGAGGACAAAGCTGAAAAACAAAGTGAGAAACAAAAGCAGAAGACACGATGAAGTAGAAAGAAGGAGTTGAAGCTAAGAACAACATAAAAAAGAAAATTATTATTGCATCTAATAATCTGTACATTACATCAGGACTGTCTGGCATACAGAATAAAATAAAAATATATAATAATTGATGAACCCCATCTCTAAAAACGACTTACTTGACCAGCAAGAAGGCTTCAGGGAGCATCTCAGCGAACGCCGTACGGTAAACGATGGCATTTTTCCTTTTACAGTTCTGAATGACATCGTTAGCGACGTAAAAAAGGTTGAGCCTCTGTGAGGTGTCGGCTGTTGAGAGGAGAGAGACACATAATGTTAGTTAGTTAGTTAGTTAGTAGGAGCAGAGTCCAAAAAAGAACTTCCTTTAGAAAGTTTCTTCATTTGTGAAGATTTTGGGGGCTTTCAGGATTGTGTTAGTTCTGTCTGTTTGCACATAGGATTCAATGTGATTTCACATTTTAAACCAGTGCAAGCATGATACCCAAGTTCTGTTAGGACACCAAATTGTTTTATTTAAACTTTACTGACTCACTAAATATTTTCCCAGAACACCTTTTCTTTCATTGCCTGAAAATTAAGAATCACACACAATTGTCAATCGCATAAACCATTTAATTAAAATTAAGAATCGTACAGAGTATTCTGTGTCAACTTAGATTACTTTGAAAAGGTATTAAAATTAATAATGACAAGCCATTTAAATGCTGAATAACTCCACTTTAATACCATGCAATTTGTGCAACAGATACATTTGAAAACTAACAAGATCTATGCGAAAACTCTCGTTTGAAATAAATACATTTTGATCAGGGCCCTTCTAAACAGTAACTGTGACCGGGTGATTTGAAATCACAGCCCATGCGTTTACGCTAAAATTTGCCACCAACAAAGTTTCCATTGACTTGCTTAAATGCATCATGAGAGGATACAGAGAAAAATACAATGTCTTCCTCAAAGCACAAACTCAGCAGGTACAGCTTTTTAACTACAAAATATAATGTATAAAAGCTGTCGTAAACCATCAAATACATAAAGTTACTCATCTACCCACAGTGTCACTTATTTTATTAAAAACACCATCAATAAGTATTGCAAGTAAACAGGTACATGCTACACAAACATGTTGTAGTTTAAATGTGTGATGTATTCAGTCAACCAAAAGCAAAGACTTATGTTAGACTGTTCTCCGTTAAACAACATTTGAACTTTCTGACACACATTTTGAAACACGCCAAAAAACAGCAAGCTGAGAGAAGGACAGACAAAAATAACAGAAGGCCAAATCTCTATAGACAAGTTTGTAGGAGTAAATCTACAGCCAAACAGCCAACTCGGGCATAGAAGTAGTCAAAACAGAAATTGCTTATCTGAAGCCATTGTGGGTGTGAAAATTATAGAATGTTTGGAACTTTGGAACAGTGAAACAAAACAAAATGCAGTCAACGTGCAAAACAAAATGCCCTTTATAAATCACAGTAAATGAAAGTGCCCCATTTATTTCTTTAAAACAACACCTGTTTTTATGATAGAAACCAGAGAAATCCCTCTTGTTTAAAAATAGGAAGCGGTACAGGTATACAGTTGTCTGAGAGTGTATTTTGACTACTTCTGCAAGAGGCAAAATACATTAGTAAATACAAAAATACTACTGGATAGTACATGAGCTGACAGTCTCCTGATACATTTTTTTTTTAAAACAAATCTTCTATCCAACAGCACAGAGGAAGTCAAGAGGAAGCACAGATTATTTAACTATTTTAAAGAATTTGTGTGGTTATATTTTGTATATTGGTGCACCTTACATATACGGTATGTTCATTATATGTTTGTTTTACAATTGTTTACTGTAAAAACATCACAAAAAAGGCTATAACAATTTCCCAGAGACAAAGGCAACATACTTGACGTGATTTAAATAATTAAAAACTGTAACTTGGTCTTTTTAAGACTTGTTAACATCTCAGTTTTGACTTTTCTTCTGAAAATCTTAAGATTTAAGAGAACTCTTTAACAATGAATACACACCCAGCCTTTTGAATCCAATTTGTGAAAGACTCACTCATGCAGAAAACTCAAGGTGTAAAGTCACATACTGTCTAATATATTAGCAAAGGCTCATCAAATACATCTTTGACATATGCTCAATCAGATAAACAACTACATCACCTAGGCCAGCAAGCATCAAATTAGGAAGCACACAAGGCTGGAGCGTCACAGAGACAAACCAACTAACAGAAGCAGAAACACAGACGGACTACAGACGATTGCCTCAGGACTTCACTGCCATATCTACACAGTAGCTACTGTGCACATGGAAATAAAGCCTGGATTCTTGAACATCTTGAATCTTCATCACTCGAGGTACAAAGATGGAGACCCTGTATATCGGTATTCTGCTATGATGTCAGGGTTTTCAATGCAGTATTTTCATATAGCATACATCTTTTCTGGCTCCTGAAAAAGTATTTAAAGTACATTTTTTGTACAATTTTCATTACTTATTCAGTAAAAAATAGGATTTGGTAAGACATTTGTAAATGTAAACTGGCAATTTTTTGATTTCTCCATCAGTGACTATGAAATGTGCCTAAAGCAGAAATATTTTAAGCTATTTTTTTGCTTTACTTCCCAGATTTACCATTATTCTTATGCAGCATTAATAAATAAAAACATTTGAGTGTTTCTAATTTTGCAAATAACCTTTAGTGCAGTGCCATGTGTCTATCATATATCCCCCCGCTGAAGTAACAGAAAGTGCATTTTTATACTTCAGTCTTTGCATTTGAGTGGATTAGTGAAACTGAGTGTATTTAACAGGTTCGCCATGCATTTGCTAAATCTATCACTCCCTGTGCAACTGTAACGTAAATCAAACATCAAAAGAGGGTTTTCAAGTTATTTTAGTTGTGCCCAGCCCAACTAATATATCATAAGTTAAAAGAGAGCAAAAAGAAGAGGATTGCACGTTCATGTTCAGCAAATGTTTTGTTAAGATTCATAAAATTGAGTAAGCCATGAAATCATGAGTCCGTTCCCTACAAAGCAATTTTTCAATACTTTTTCAAAAGAGGTGATCATTAAACCAAATAAAAATACTATCTAAGAAAAGTGAGTTTAAGTCATCATGACTATGATTAGGAAAAATATATAAAGGAGCACAGTAAAAAAACTGAAATAATAATTTGTGAAACGTGTGCAAATGTTTTGAGCACACGGGTCATTCTGCACATGTATTTGTCTTATTGTATCCAACGCTGACTGGCAAATGTATCACTGATGTAAAATCAACACTTAAATAATAATTCACAAGCTACTCTGCAGCATACAAGCTAATTACAATTAGCTGCACCTTTGATAACACTTTAATGAATCAATCATCATAATAAAAACATGTCATATATTATTCTGAAATCGGTCAATCTGCAGGATGAGTACTTTTACCAGTGATTCTTTAAGTATATTCTGATGCTTATACTTATACTTTTTTAACATTTTGATTGCAGGATTTTGACAGAGTACTCCTACACTCTGGTACATCTACTTCAACTCAAGTATAAGATCCGAGTACTTCTTCCACCGCTGATGAACGTTTCCATATCAATGTTGCAAACAATAATATGAACAACAACACAATAACATCACTGTGACGTCACAACATAGTAAAGGTACTCACATTTCTTCAAACACTTCATCCAGTGCCGCACAATCAGGCTGTGGTACTTCTTGTTGTCGATGCACCACGTTGACAGTCCCTGTATTGAGTCCATGGTGTTTGACACGCTCTGAAACCTTTTCCCCATCGTGGACTCGAAAGAGCCGCCAGAAGAGGCTCGTGCGCCCGCTGCCATGTCCGGAGGAGCTCGCGCTGCTGACTACCATTCCAAAAGGCAAACTAACGTTAGCCGGGGCTAGCACTTAGCTTAGCATGCTATCTTAACGTAGCACAAACATCCCTTTCAGTACACTCTTAGCTGCTTTTAAAATGTTACAAAACACTAAATGCTCGGTATGCTGTTTTCATAGATGTCTTAGTATATTACTTATCCCTGTGTGTCTCTGTATGAGCGCTAGTAGTTTATCAAACCTAATATTTAAAGCTAAAACTTAGCGCCTTGAGACATCCTAGAGCTCTGTTTACTCCTCGTTGGTGGAGGGATGAAGGACACTTCCGCAAACACGACATCATTATGGCGCCACCCAGTGCTACGGAAGGTAATAACTGATAGCGCCACCTGCTGCATCCATGGCTGTGTGATAGACAAGTTAGTAAGAATTCATTTGTGCTTAATTTATGTCATAAAATACGTATGTTTTCTGTGTGGGGTCTTAATTTCCTGTAGATGTTAAAAGAGAGAATAGTTCGTGATTAATACGCGTTTTATCTCAAGCAGATGTTTGCATGTGTTCTTTTTTAATGGGTTTTATTCTTGGGATGGATGTTTCAGTAAAGAATGTCTAAAAATATCTATGAGCAACACAAATCTAAAGTAAAGGTACTTATCATGGAGGATTGCCCTATCAAAGTATCATATTTCATTATCATTTTGGTTTACTGAAAATGGTGCATAAATGGGGAACTCATTTCCAATGCATTTTACTGTGTATAAGTGTTAATTTATCCTATGTATAAATCTTTATTTGCAAGATACTATTTCAAAGTTTTCAGTGTGCTCTACCAAAAATAATAATAGACTTTAAGTGTTTAATTAGAAAAAATCAATGAACTGATAAATTAGAAAAATGAATTATTAAGTGTTCGATTCAATTTGCCTCCAAGTCATGCACTATAAGAAAAAGGAAATAAAAAAACTAACACCTGCCAACACAACAGCTGGCAAATAATGAATCAATATTAAAGCAAGACACCTTTTTTTCATCTGACATGTGTTTTTAATTCCAGAAAATCAACAGACACTGAATTTTGATGGACATCATTAATTTAATATATAAAAATATGTGCATTTATCAATCAATCATCAATAAAGTAATTTCATTAAAAAAAACAAAGAAATACCCACAACAAAGAAAACTTGAAGACGTACAATTGAGTTTTTCTATTTTGAAAAATAAAAGATCCTAACACTAGACTACAACTCTCCACAACATTTTAAATAACATCACTCAGAAAAGAATCTTTGCATCTACACAGCACCACATTTGATACATAAGATAGTGACTCTTTGTATGATTGATAATGATATTTCAGGCAAATGTATTGTTAGGTTTATGTCTGTCATATAAGTAAGGCTGACTGGTGTCAAACCACCAGAGATGAAACACCATTCAACATGAATGATATCTGATTTATAATATGGTGAAAATGGCCAAATGCTTTCAAACAAAGAAAGAGTTCAGGAATGGAAGCTGTTTTGTTGTATAAATATATTTGCAACTCTTTGATGAAAGGTTTCATTTCCTCTGTATCATCCAAGATGCAATTACATTTATTCCAAATGTACAGAGGATCAAATACAATGTTTTTGCTTCATAATATACAAAAGATGGCTTAAAATTCATGTAATAAAACATATTTTTAACAAAACAAATGATGAGTAGTATTAAGTATTTATTATCGATCAATTAGGTTTTGGTATTTCCTCAGCAACATTTGAATCTGTTACCATCATTTCAATCTATTTATATTTACAAAGAAATACAAATGTATGTGTGTTAACAGCTAATAAATAAAGTGGTGAAGTAAGGTGCGATATGATATGATGATGCAAAATGGTTTGGTTTGGCACGTTGTTTTGCAGCGGCTACATGTCTTTGCACCAACACGTTACATTCAATAAACTGGCAAATTATATTTTTAACCATCCTAAATTCGTTTTTAAAATATATTAAATTGTTGATATATTATTCCTGTTTTTAACCAGTGTTTAAAGCATTTCCAACATATTCTCAAAGGTAAATGAATACAAAAATGATACTCTTTACAGACAGACGATACACATTTGCTTGGATTAGAGATTAGAGTGCATTCAATCCAAAATTGCACTGGACATTCAGTGGTTAATAAGTGTCTCTTTGCATTTCTATTCCTCCTCTTCTGTTTACATGCCCTACAGCCAAAAAGGACTGGCACTGTGCCAAACTTAATCCTTATGTAATTAAGTCCGCCCTATGGCAAGCATTCAGTTGCACCTCCATGTGGCAGCAAGGATAGCTCAGGCCAGCGAAGTGGAGTCAGCTGTGGTCAAGATGTCACTTGAGGACACGGAGCTGTCTTGTGTAGCAAGGCTTTCACAAGAGGAGGGCAGAGAAACCTCAGACACCCCTTGATTCTCATGTACCCCTTTTCTGCTTAAAGTGCAACTGTTGTATGTACCCTTGTGTTCCTCAGCTGGTTTTTCGGTTTTGTCCTCTGGATTTCTCTGTTTTTTGGGTGATCCAGGAAGACACGTGGAAGCGGTGTTAAGTAGGGTCGCAGCCAAGCAGCTCTCATGTTGATTGTGCGTGCGCTTGGTTGGGATTTTGCTGCAGTCTTCGGGGTCTGACCAGCTCAGCTTTCTCTTCTGGAACAGAAAAGAAACACCAAAAATAAGAACCATAATAAACCAAGGTCTCAAAGGAAAACTACAGATCATTTCACCTTCACCAGATTTAAGAAACCATTCTTATCAACTGAATTTTGACAGCTATTAAACCAATAAGACTTAGTTAAAGCTTGCAGTCTTTGCATCCTCTGCTGAATATTATCTTTAAGTGTCTTATACTCATGCCTTATATCATTCTCCAAATCTTTAAAATAATATTGTTTTCATTCTCTTTTCATCTAGTTTTATCAGTGATGTTATAATATATATTTCAAATGGATGCTTGTTGGTTCCAAACAAAACGTTGTGTCAAAAGTTTAGTTTAGACATTTTAACATCTCAGGGTCATGTGGACCATGCACTTTCATAGGTAGCAAAGGTGACATCTAATATGAAGCTCACCTTAACGGGCATGTGGAGCTGATTCTGTCTCCAGTGTGGTCGGAACATGGGCGTGGGTGTATGGCTCGGTATTACTTTGGACTGAAATTCCACCCGAGGGAACCATATTTTGAGCATCATCTCTATCTGCAGCAGGTTTTGTAGGTATTTCTCACTGCAGGACAAAAATAGTTCAGGGACAAGCATTAATGACAGGACTCTTTATGTATGAGCATGACAGTGTCCCGATTATTACTACAATGATAATATTAGGCTTGCAGCTAGTCTTACCCCATTTCTGGCCTCTGCAGAATCCCAAGTATTCTCTGCAACCTGTCTATTGCAACACTCTGCTGGAAACTTGATAGACCTGCAACAATAAAAAAAAAAGTAAATCCAAATGTCAAAACATGTATGGCACTGTAATAACAATACAACTTTGAGGTGATGGTCATAAAGTTGAATATTGCACAAACACATACCTTTGTCAAATCTTCCAGTTTTCAGTCCGTGCAGAAGCTCAACCAAAGGACAGATAAACCTCCGCAAATCTCTAACCTGGAAGAATAAGAAAAAAGATTAGCTTTACTAATTAAGTTAATAAAAAACCCACTTATAACAAATATTAGAATCTTTGGCGGGTTCTCACTTTCTGAGCGAAGGCCAGGTCCCCTGGTGTTGCAGGAGATGAGCCTAACGTGGCATCAGCAGGAGAAGAGACGGGATGCTTAGTTTTTTCAGGGCAGCGTGTGATTCTTTCATCCCCTGAGAGGGACTTGTTTCCTCTACTGTCCCCTTCTCCCTCTGAGAAGACATCTGCTTCATCGTCAGTCTGCTCACTCTCACTGAAGAGCATACTCGAGTTGGAGGACAGCGAGTCATAAGATGGCCATTTGGAAGAACTACCCAAGGAATTCATCTGTGGAGACACAAAGATAATAACGTCAAAATACAACTCATTCAGTTCAAATTCTGGGACTGGGCTAAATCAAATAGGGTCACAGTATTACATTATTAGTTAACTTCGTACTGAAGGAAATATGTTGATGTCTTCCAATAAAAAAATAAAAAAATGTATTACATTTTTCTTTTTTAAAGAAATGTCCATCCCTATGTGCTACTGTCTAAATGAAAGGTCGAAAAATTCTTCTTTTTAGAATACATTAAACATTGTACTGATAAACAAGGACAATCCAAGCTATACCACTGAAGAAATATCTGTTACAATCTTTAAATTACTTTTCAATATATTAACCCATATTACACCATACTGGGAATATAATAACCTTGAGTTATTTAAATTGCCATCTCGATAACGATGGCGCAACGCAAGCCTTTTGGCAGTATCACGCATCACCAATTAGAAATGAAAAGCATGTCCACTTTTGCAGTTTCACCATGAGATTCTGATATTCACTGTAATTAAAAAAAAAAAAAGAGGCGTGTGTCCGTGTCTGTGCACGTACACCACGGTTCAGGACACTTGTCATCTGGGAACAGATGCTTACCTCCACTGATTACCTCATGAAACGTCAACATCAATAACACACCTATAGCCTCATATATGGTTTGAGATTAAGTCTTGTTTTTAGCATGTTTTTCATGACTGTTGTCAAGGACATTTAATTTGATGATTTAAGACAACATAGGTATAACGTGGTTGCTGGTTACACACTATTTCTTAGTTGACGTCAAACAACAAGCACAAACAAATATAACCTTTACATCCTTAACTATTTAGAAACTTGATATTGTTATTAAGTACACCCAAGTGGCTACCTATCATATCACAATTTATGAAAGTGCGTCGATTCTGAAAAAATTGTTATGACAAATAAAGTGACTACGTATCATATTTGAACTAACAATTTAAGAATGGATGTTGACAAACAAAGTACGTTCTGTAAAACAGTTGTATGGAGAAAATTATTACCTTAAGGTTGGAGCAGAAGTTGATTCAGAAAATCGGTAAAAATAATACAGCTCCGCGAGAGAAGGCACGTTTAACTATTTTGTCCAAGTTAAACAATGACACTCCTTACAGATGTAACCTTAACAAAGTTAACGCTTCGTAGAGATAGATGCGTAGATACAGTTTAGACGCAGTGAGTCGCACCCTGCTCCTTCTTCTACTCTCTGTTCTTGTGTCGTCTACTTTGTCAGATACCCAACCTGTTAGAAAATATACCCACGGAGCAAAACACGGACGCTACACGTGCAGTGCATGCAGGGAGCCGCGATTGGCTGAAGG